GTCGTTTTTTTCATCCAAAAACGCCTTACTATACATGGTCGTTTTTTTCGGATAAAAATTTCGGCTAAAAACGCCTTACTATACATGATCGTTTTTCTCGGCTGAAAACGCCTTCCTATAAATGGTTGGCTTTTTTTCGTCTAAAAATACCTTACTATACATGGTCTTTTTTTTTCTGCTAAAAACGCCTTGCTATACATGGTCGTTTTTTTTCTCCTAAAAACGCCTTCTTATACATCGGAGGCGGCTGAAAACGCCTTCCTATAAATGGTTGGCTTTTTTTCGTCTAAAAATACCTTACTATACATGGTCTTTTTTTTTCTGCTAAAAACGCCTTGCTATACATGGTCGTTTTTTTTCTCCTAAAAACGCCTTCTTATACATCGGAGGTGTCAAAAATACGGCCTGCGGGCCAGAACCGGCCCACTAGGAGGTTTGATCAGGCCCATAGGATAATTTAAAAGTGAAAAAAATGCATAAAAGACATGGAATGAATATTTTTAATCATGTGCAATTCATGGAATATCCGCTCGGGGGACACTGTTTTGATCAGAGGAAAAGACAACATTGTTTTGATCAGAGAAGAAGACAACAGCAGCCTCAGTCTGTCACTGAGACATACCCAACACAGCAGACACTATCTTTATTCTTTACACATATTTTAGCACTCTCCTTAGTTTATAAGGTGGAGGCAGGGATTACGTTTAGATTTTATATGCTCGTGTAAATGGTTTCAAAATTCCTTTCTTGATCAATCTCGTTTAATCTTAAAAGTGCATACTATATTTTTCAAGACCAATTACTTGTTAAGGTTTTGTGCCTTTGTACAGTCAGTGGGATCAGTTGCAATGCATGTATGTGAATGATAAACGTAAATTGCACATTTGTCTCAGGAAATCTTAGGTGTTTCATGAAATGTTTTGTAAAAGATATGTCTTAAATTTCAACATTTTCCTAATGTTCTTGTCCATCTTTCGACCAAAACAAAGGAAAGACATATTATTTTGGTTATTTATAGCAGAGCATGGTATAATTTTAAATGGTCCGGCCCATTTGACATCTACCGAGGCCTTATGTGGCCCACAATGTGAAATGAGTTTGACACCCCTGCGTCGCTGATGACAGCATACTCCAGATTGATTTGACTCAGCAACAACAAGGCCTACCGGGTACTGTGACGAAGAACTTCACGGCATCGCGGTGTCCATGGAAACAGAGCTGCGCCTGTGCCATGGAGCAGTAGGGGATGAAGCTTCCGTTGCTTTTCTCGGAGCCGTCGTCGCCGTACACGTGGATCACGCCTCCGGAAGATGTCGGAGACACCTTATTGGCTGAAAAGATCACGAAAAAAAAAAATAAAAAAGGTAAATATGGTCATTTAGTCGAAATATACAAACTGTGCATGTTTAGTCTAAGAAAAGAGACTGAAAAAGTTCACCAAAAAAAACAAAACCCAACACCAGTAATTGCAAATTAGAGCGGTGGGTGTCCGCACATCTTCTCCATGCAATACATGTAAGCCAAAGCAACAGATATCACCGAGGTACTCAACACACAGTGGCAAAGATGATTAGCATGCAAAGCAACCAAGGGAGCATTTATGACGTTCTGGTAGAAATCAAATCAAGCGCATTTCAGAGAATTGGACCTTTTGCATTGTTGGACCCGAATGCTAACATGCTCGAACATGCCACACGGTCAATCGATGCTGACATGCTGTGGTACAGCCGATAGCATTGACCTTGGCTCCTTTTTCAGTTAGCACGTTAGAAAGCTGATGCGTTTTTTTACATCACAAATTGATTATTCTCGACAACGAGCCCCTTCGTGAACAAAAAGGTGATACTTGAGTACATATAAAAAGGGTCCCTGCAGTGACACTACTCACTAAAAGTTAGGAATAGGGAAATTTGGGCTGAAATTTCGGGATGAACCTAAAATGCACAAGAACCTTTTTTTTTTATGAGTGAACTTGATTTGAGCTTTTTGAAATGTTTGAATGTACATGTCAAATCGTTCAAAATTTCATTCCCCTGTCAAGATTCGAGTGCATTTTCGGTTCATCTTCTTGTCGTTTACCCCTAACATTTGTAGAGTACTGCCTGTGGTTTTCTTTTTGGTTTTTTTTTTTGTTTATAGAAGGGACACAAAGGCAGGTGAAGAGGAGGGCCAGTAGCGGGAGGAGGCAGCACTCCCACTTACCCCTCAGACCCAGGAGTTGTCCCCGGTGAAGGACCACCGCTACAGGGGGAGGAAGGAGAGGAGCAGAAGGAGGAGGAGGAGGAGCAGGAGGAGAAGGAAGGAAAGAGAGCAGAGGAGAAAGTAGAGTAACAGTAGCAGAAACAGTTTGGACCCAGAGGGGGAAGCCACTCAGGGGACAACACTGATGGCCTTTTCATACGAAATTAGAGGTAGTCAATGCGAGGAGAGGACTGATTTGAATTTCCAATCCTCCTTTTTCCAGTAGTCATCGATCCGCCACCTCGTTTGGATGAATGCCAAAATGCGTGCCTGTTATAGGCCATCGCCATTTGCACCTTTTCATTGAGACCTGAAGATGGGCACATGGTTCAGCGAGACATTAAGGCCATTGTAAAATAAGAAAAATTTTGTTTGGTGGTGCGCCATGAGATTGTTCTCATGCTAAATAGTGACTGCTCGAGTGATGTAAATTGAATTTCATACGCAAAATAGTGCGCTGTCAATGGGCTTATCTCAAACCAAAGTTTAAAGGGGAAGTCAACCCCATTTGTAGTATGCAGCCAAACGAGCCCACACATGGTTTCGTGATTAAGATTGTGTTTGTGGAATAAGAATTAAGCAGTCAAATCCACCCGTTTTTGTCCCATTTCAGGGGGCGGCCATTTTGCCACTTGCTGTCGACTGAAAATGACATGATAGTTGCTCGGGGCTCAGGTAACAACCAATCACAGCTCAGCTTGAGAAGATGTGGCTGCCCCGTGAGATGGTGGATTTTGCTGATTAGCTCTTATTCCACAAACACAATATGAATGAGAATACCGTGTTCAGACTAGCGGAGGCGCACAGAACGTATTACGGCAAAGAACATTTTGGGGGAGACTTCCCCTTTAAAGGCCCTGAATTTTCAAAAGCAACCCCACATTTTTTCGACCTCCACAAATTAAGGTGCTAAATGATGGCGCTGCAATGTAAAGACACTCAACTCACAACAAACACAAAACAAAACAAAAGATCGTGAGGCCCCGAGAATGTGAACAACCGCCGTGATGCTTACTATTTGTTCTCGGTCAATTCCTTTTTGCACATGAGATGCAAAACACCCGACGGCTCTGTGCGACTGACACTCACTCTCTGTTAGCGGGATGGAGATGATCACGCCATTTCCAGTGCCCACCCACAGGCGATTTCCACCAATCAGGAGAGCCGTGATGCGCACGAAGGAGAAGCCCAGCTTGCCGGTGCCTGTGAATCACAAAACGGTCGTCAGGCAGAGTGCGCACTGACATCCCGTTAGATTGCTACGTATAAATTATTTCAAGTTTTATGGCGTGATCACACGTCAATAGTTTCACACACTGCGTATTAAAATCGCTGCGTATTAAAATCTATCCATCCATCTCGGAGACTTTACAAAAAAGGCCTCCTCTGACCGAGCATCTTGCTGACGTAAGGCTCGATGTCCACGTCCTGCAGGTGTTGGTGCGTGTGGGCGTGGTAGAGGCGCAGCGTGGAGTCCAGCCGGATCGACACCCACACGCCGTCGCCGATCCAAGCCAGCTGGCGCACTTGGCTCTCCCGACGAGGGTGGGCGTCAAAGGACTTCTGCCGGAGGAGGAGGAAGCGAGCACGTGACAAAAGGGTTTCCACGCGAAATGAAGAAGAAGGGAAAAAAAAAAAAAAACATCGAGACTGGCCTCGATCTGCATGCTTTTCGGCTGAATGACGTGGATCTTGTTCTTGTAGCCGCACCACACTTTATCGTGCACGACGGCCATGCAGCGGATGGAATGATGAGGTCGGCCCAGGTCCATCAGGTGGTAGTTGGACAAATCCCATTGGCCGTCTGCATGAAGACGACAAATTCTTTGGGAACCTTCAGACAGGATTTGGCGACTTTGCACATGCAATAAGCATTACCCTCCGATCGGTGGAATATGGCGAGGGTCCCGTCAGCAAGTGCCACCAGCACCCGACCCTTCACGTGCCTGCAGTGGAGGGAGAGAGAGAGAGAGAGAGAGAGAGAGAGAGAGAGAGAGAGAGAGAGAGAGAAAGCACTTTGGCAAGACGCAATCTCATTGGGGGAATAACGACAACATCAAAAGGGGAGACGTCCTTCAACCAGCAAACACATAAATGATGAGGCTCTTACACCAGACTGAGCACAGAGTCTTTCAGTTTGATGGAGTGGAGGCAATTTTTCCAGTTGCCAACCGCCGAGTGGACATAAAGCCTGGAGGGGGACAGAGAAGAGTCAGACAAACTCAAATGCTTGTCATGTTTGATGTACGAGTTGGCTGAAATTAGTCTCTGGGCAAGCTTCTTTGATGACAACGTTATGTCACGTGCTGGAGGCGTGGCACGAAATGCCCCGTGTTGCTCGACAGGTATGTGATATCATAATGTGTGCAGACTTGCCAGCCGTTCTGGGCCCCGAGCCACATGGTGGGTGCCATGCTGGTGTAAATCTTGGTCTCTTCACCAGCATCTTCTATTTCTGGAGGTACTGATGTTTCCTCTTTGGACTGACCGGCGGCCCTGCGTGGACAGAGAGCATACAGAGTTGTGTCTCTCCCGAACCGTCTCTGCACGTTCACACACGGATTCCACCTGTCAGAGGCATCTGCCGAACGAGGCGGCGGATCGGTGAAGACGTGCTCCATGAACGGTCCCGAGGGTGCGGATTTGAGTTCTGCGTGACCGGATGTGGACTCCGGAACTTCGGTGGCCTCTGTGGCCTCCTCAGCGGACTGGGCTGGGAGAATCTTGCTGCTTGTTGGGGGGGCGACGGGGGCTAAAGCGCAACACATCATTCTGAGTTAACGTGACGCCCGGTAGAACCGACGTTGCCTCACCTCTCTGCGCTTAATACAAAGATTGAGGAGTTTTTCGGCATGCGCCCACCTTGTCCTTTGTCCATTATGGGAGTGTCAGTGCGTGAGGAGCAGTTGCTACGGGCAACACTGCAGTTAGTGGCGCAACCCACTAGCGTGATACCAGCCAACATACCCTCCACGCTGCCGGCATCATCGCCCGCCCCTGCACCACCGTCACCCGGATCCAAAACGATTTCTCCAGCCGAATAGTCGCTCTCACTGGCAGCTGTACACACATACACACACACACACACACACACACACAAAAAAATATTTAAAGAGGAAGTTGAAGCATTGGTGAAGGCGCATATAATTGCGAAGAACATTATGGACTTGAATTCCCTGTGAAGCACTTTTTGTTCATGTGCAGAAAAGGGAGAATACAACTGCAACATAATGCCAGCAAATTTTTAAAAAATCATGAATATACAGGGGGAGTGTCAGATATAGAAGGGGGCGGGGCCACACTGAATGTAGGCCTGCTTTGACCATTTCTTTGACTTTGGACAAGACAATTGCTCATCATTTTACCAAACTCGAAGTCCATAAGCTCACGCGGATGTCATATTCCTGAGGCCACGCCCCTTAAAGTACACAGCCTAGGCGCCCAGTTGTTGTATTGTTGGGACTTCCGGCTGGGCGCAAAGTACAGTCATGACTCTAAACCAGTTTATTTCTTTATATGATATTTTATTGACAATGCGTCACATTTTGATAGTTTTTGCAGACTGCAATGGACTGACTTCACAAAGCCCATTCATGGGGGGGGGGTCACCCTTACCTGGCACACTGGAGATGCAGAGGACGTGAGCATTGCAGACGTTGAACTGGTCCACTAGCGAGCCCGGCTGGTTGGCATCGATGATCACCACTTTACTGGCAGAATGCGTGCTGGTGAGGATCCAAACGCGGCTGCTCATGGTGTCGGTTTCCTGCAGCTCCTTGGACTGGAGGAGGAGAGGAGTGTTAGAGAAGCAACCTCAGGCGACCATAGTACTCATTCTCTGTACTCAAGGTACAAATGCCAGATTAAAAAAAAAAAAAAGACTTTCGAGGTACTAATTCAATTGTAGTACTCACGAGAGTCCAACAAAATTGAACACCAGAGTGAACACAACTGAAATGTTCTCCAATCGCTTCCCACTAACCGGGAGCAACTGAGAGTCGATCGTCACCAACAAGGCTCACCTTCCTCTTCTCAGGAGAGTTGTGATTGCTCTTCTTGCCTCCGTCATTCTCTTCCGCTTGCAGAGGGTCGCTTCCGCTGGGGAGCGCTTTCGGTGGCTCTGACTCTTGGCTGCCGGTTCTCCATCCCGTCAGGTCCACGCCAGCGGCACACCATAGCTGACGTGGACACAAATACAAGCTCATAACCATTTTTTAAAAATATATGTTGATAGTTTCCTGGCAAATTTCTTTAAGCCTTGACATGCATTTGACTTTTTTTTTTTTTTTAATAACTTACCTTTCTATTGGGGGCAAAGTCTGAAGGGGGCCGACAGTAGACCGGGACCGGAACATTCTTCATGCGATTGTCGTCTTTTTCACCGGTGGTCTAAAAAGCAAAAAGTAGCATGCAGGCCAAGCAAGAAAAAAAAAAAAAAAGGCAAATCTTTGAAACACACCTAGCGTGATTTTTTTTTACTCTGTCTAGAAGATTTTGTTACTCTGTCTAGAAGACAGCAGGTCGTCCATAAAATACTGCGACACTAAACAAGTGAACGAGTTAGTAGTTGGCGCGTCTATTTCCATTGCTCTCCTGTTGTACGCGTCAGCGCTGTGGGGATGGGCGTCGAGGCGGGACTGAGTTGCCGTCACTTACCTGTTGTCTTTTCAGCTGGCTGTCCTGAGCGCTGTCCGTCTGACCGGCAGTCTGTGGGAGACCAGAGTTAGAGCCACCTGCCTGCTGGCCCTTCACAAGTACAACCAGCCAGCCAAAGCCTCGACTTCATTTTGACACGATGACATCTCTTCATTTAGATTGGTAACACGGATAAAGCGGCCACAAGTTCACCTCGGTCACGACTGTCCCAAGACAGGAGGACGCGGGGACCCCCCCCGCGGGTTGGGGTGACGCGTACCTGTTTGTGGCCAGTCTGGAAGCAACGGGCCAGCCAGGTGGTAGGAGCGAGGAGAAAGAGAGCCAAGCGTTAGCGGGCAGCCAGCAACCGGCCTCACAGACAGAAAGAAGTCATTGGCCTCGCCTTAACATACAATATTTGACTGTGCCGAAATGCGTTTAAAATGGGCTTAAAAAGTTTCAAGCTCATTTCCAACTTTGGGGAGGATTACTTTATGTATGATGAACGGGGAGCATTGTAACTCTAATTTTGTCCCCTCATGCATGAAGAGACTGAAGCTAGCAAAAAAAAAAAAAAAAAGCGGAAAAAGCGGCGAGGCGTTGCCACACAGAGGGAGGCAGCCGGGGCGCGGCGCTCACTCTTCTGGGAAGAATTCCAAGGTGCGGTTGGAGGTGGAGATCTGACACATGGTGTGGCTGCGGCGCTGAGGGAAGCCCGCCGGCGAGGGCGACTTGTAGTGAATGTTGACGCTGTAGTACGGACGTTTGACGGGCGGAGGGCTGGACGATGAGCTGAAGAGACGTGCAAAGCTGCAGGGATGCGGAGGGGTTGCACGTTTTTAGTCCATTTTCTCTGGCAGGTGACTGTAAACGCGTGCGGTCAAAGCAGAAACTTACAACTGCCAGATGGTGGACTTCTTTTTCTCTTGGATTGCAGGACTCTCACGCGAAGCCCTGGAGGAGACATGACAGGATCTCGTCCGTTGAGATTATTTTCGCAGTTTGTACAGTGGACGCTCGAAAGCCGTGTGGCATCGCGTTGATGAATGAACGATCAAATGAGCAAAGGAACTGTGAGAGTGTTTCGGTAGTATAAGCCAAAATGTTTCAGTAGCGCATGTGACTGAAGATTTTTGGAGTTTGCGTGAGATTGTTTCGGTAGTGTGTGCGATGGGGCCGCTCATAACAAACAGTCCTACGATGTGCGGACTGGCTTCTTTGCTCTACATAACTGTAGCATTACCGAATCATCTCGGTCCATCGCACAGCCTCCTGCAGCTCCATCAGCCTCTCTTTGTACTGGTTCCTCTCCATCAGCACCCTCGCCATCTCCACCCGCGTAAACCGTCGCCTCTGGGTCATGGTCATATCGCCGTCTTGTATGGGCGATGAGAACTAGGCAATAAAAGGGCTCATGAGAGAGCGCTTTCCTCAGCAAAGCATCCTCAGCGTTTGATCAGAAAAATCTGCCTTTAGAAGATTTTGTTTCTAGCTTGGAGGTAATAAAGCTCGAAAACACCGATACTTGCACACACACACACCTCATCGGCACTCTGCTGCTTGGCACAAGGGCGCATCCCGACAGTCATTTTACATAATACATTTGGAATCCCTTATTTTTTTTTTTTTGCAAAGTCTGAAGAGTTTTCTCTTTGATATTAATAGTTCAGGTGCCAAATGAAGAGCACAGTGAGAAATGCGCAAGACTCACATCGTCGTTTCCTTCATCCTTGGAGTCCCGAGATGCTCCGAGAGCCTCGGCTCTTAACCTGCAGTCCAAAAATGGGGTGAAAAAAAATTGTTTCTCCCGTTGTCGTATGTACTGAGTGCATAAACACTCGCCGACTTCGATTTTAACATTAAAGCTTCCAACCCCTGAGTGTATTTTATTGACGGAGAATATGAGCTAATCTCTACAACAAAAATTCTTTCTAAAGATTCCCAGAATCATTTTCACCTCCGTAGTTCTTCTTCCAGCTCCTTAACTCTGGCGTCCAACTTGCTCTTGGACTGCCTCACGGCCTCCAGCTCCTCCCGTAGCACCTCATGCTCGCTGGACAGCTCGTCCACTTTGGCAATAAGATCGTCTTTAACAATGTTGAGAGCGTTTCTGTGAAAAGAGAAAGGAGAGGAACTTATAAGTCCTTTCAGAGCAGCACATTCCAGTCCACTGGAAAAAACATCGTTCATGATTCTAAAAGGGCAGGCAGACGACAGTTGGACGCAAGCAAAATCAATTCAACGGGAAAAGCGAGGGTGTATTCACGTATTATCCTGAAATGTTACCCGAGAGTCCAATCGTCTCAGCTTTTTAGGACTATCGCCCAAAATTCTAACGGTGGTGCATGTGTGGCAATTCTGTTTCTTACTTGGTCTCCAGAAGCTGTTTGTTCTCCGTCAGCAGGTTCTCCACCTCCTTGCCCATTCCTGAAACACACACTTGTTACTCATCACGCTGTGTTTATGAAATGCACAGAAGGTAAAATGTGCAAAATAATAATAATAATAATAATAAAGCCACACAACATGTAGCACAACTGGGCTTTCAGCCAAGTAAAAATGACATAGCAAGCAACTGTGAGCAGAAGCAAAGCACCTCACCGAAGAAATCATCTCGGACTGGAGCCAAAGAAGAAAGGAGGGAAGAGGGAGGAAAGGAAGATGACGGATAGACAAAAAAAATTTGATTAATGTTGGAAAGAGAAGATGCTGTTCAGCATTCATCAAATTTAGATACTATTTAACAATAAATACTGGAGCACAATGACATGCAGTACTAGTTTTTTTTTTTTTTAATCACGTATTGGACTTAAAAGGATATGAAAACAACTTCACTGCTACACATTATCAGGCAGTTGTCCTGAACTTCTGATGTTGATTTTCTGTTCGAAGCATGAATTAAAAAGTACTCATTGATAGATGTGGCGTTTGCAGAGCGGCAAGAGGTGAACGCACGTGTTCCAATACACACCTGAGAACTCCCCTACGGGTGTCACCGGCGGAAGCACAAAAAGGGACAAAAGAAAGAAAAAAAAAAGTGGTTGATTAACAGAATACCAGCACTTCCTTCAAGATCCACATTTAAATTGGAAAAGAATTTGAAACTGTGCTCTTCTTTCTTTCAAACTTACTGTACTCTGAACATTGACGTTCGCACGTGAGCATTCAAGCGGTCACCTCAAGAAAGTGTCAAGGTGGTTGCTGTGGCTTTCATACCAAGAAGCTCCGCCCCGGCATCGACGTCCCCGATGATGTCCGACTTGGCGTCTTTGATCTCGTGGTACAAAGAATCCGTGTTGATTCCGAAGGCCTCGTTCACGATTCCCTGGGAGGGGCTGCAAAAGCGACACATCACAAATATTTGGTCATTTCAGCTCAGCTTCATGAGGCACACTTGGACCATGTGGTGAAATCCACCAGCGACGGGCGTCAAGTGACTTTTGGGTCAGAGCATATTTAGCGGGGTGCCGTGTGCATGCAATGCAGCCAATTGGGCCCAACCTGTTTCCTCCTCCGTACAAGCGCGGATCCACACACATGTCTAACTCAGGAGTAGAATCGATGATCTCTTGAAACTCTGACCACTCGTCGCTGCTTCCCATACCTGTCAAACAGAACATTTCAGCTGCGCGAAGCAACACTTGAAGATGGGGGAGGCTTTTTTTTTTTTTTAAGCACGTGTGACTTTACCAATGCTCACGTTCCGGGTTTCCTGGGAAACCTGGACTTCCATATTCCGGCTGAGCCTCTTGCCGCTTTTCCTCCCCCGGCTGCCCGCCCGCATCGCATCAAACTCAGAGGAAGGGAGGAAGCCCTCGTTGATCGGGGTGACGGTGGCAGAGGGGACAGAGGAGGTGGGTGTGTTGGATTTGCTTCCGGTGCTGCTGGGGGTGGCTGCCACAGAGTCAGACTCGGATCCGTCCTCCTTTTGTGCGGGACGGTGGCACGAGAGGAGCGAGAGACAAGTACGGACAGTATGAGAATCCCATCGTGGAAGTGGCGTCAAAGATACGCTAAGAGTTCCGCTAAAGCATCATCTATGATCCATTTGATCTCGACAACAGGAGTTTTTTACAGCTATTATCAACAATCTTAGGTGAGCTTCACTCTATGGGACTGCGCCCTGCCACGAGCAGAGTAAATATTTACACACCTCGAAAAAGGTTCATAATTGTCTATAAGCATGACATGAAGCTGCTCAACTCACCTTGACATAGTTACTTGGCACCAATAAGCCACAAAATGATGCCAAAGCAATGTTTTTATACGACGTGACAAGGCCTTGGCTTGAGCACAAAAACTGCAAACAGGTGAGTTTTCAGCAAATAATGGAGGATAGATTTTTTTTTTTTTTTTAAACCACAAATATGTGAAACCGTAGAAATCTGCAATCTAAAAATACCGTCTAAAAATACAGCAGTTGTTCAGGTTTTGGTACTATTTCCAGGGTCCCGACACCCAAAAGAATGCGCTTTGACTGGCCATTAAACATATTTTGTTTTTATGGTGCTTATTTACATGGATAGAAGTATAGCGATATAAATTAAAGATCGTTTTATTTAAGATAATTTATGGCATGAAAGAAAATTGAGCACGGGAAGTTGAGCTACACATGTCTTTTGCATTACACCTCGACAATCTACATATGCATGTCAAGAAAAAAAACCAAAAAAACATCCAAAAGCATAAGCACTGACAAAACTAAAACACGAGCACACGAGGCAGAAGCTCCATGATCACAAATAAATGATCACAAAGTTTGAAGGACAGCCATCAAAAGGACCCCGGCTTGCTTGAGTCGGCACAGAAAAAAAAAAAAAAACGAATTGTGGTTTAGATTCAAATGGGAATCGTACATTTGCATCAAAAGTGACACAAGCAGGCATGAAGGGTGGTCCTTGGAATGTGTGGCTTGCCGGATGCTCAGCGGTAAGGCTGGCCATGCCCCGCAACCACTCCCCAAGCGGCAGTCGCCAGAGGTGGGAGAAAGTCGCTTCAACTGGTGACTCAAGTCCCGCCCCCCCACCTCTGGCGGTTGTGCTTATGGAGGAAAGAGGCGGCCGCTGTCTGTCCCACCTGATAGGCCGAACTGAGGGTGGACTGGCCGAGCTCGCTGACCTGCCAGATGTCTTTCCCGGGCATCATCCTAGCCCCCCCGAGACCCCCACGTACCATGCCCTCGCCGCTGGGGTACAGGCTCAACGACGGCGGCCGCTCTGCTTTGCTGTTGGCAGCGAACACATGCGCGCACACAGACAAAAGGCCAAATCATTAGTTGTCCGTTCCAAATATTTCACACAGCTTTGATGATGTTATTCTCAATGTGACTGAAGCCTCGTGCGGGATGCAAATAAAAACGCAGAGATCCAATTCAAATGAACGTCCTTTCAACAATATCCCCGTGGCATTGAAACGGTTCACTAGCTCAGTGTTGATCTTATTTGAACATCTGAAGCTGCCATAAACACTGCGGGACTGTAAGAAATGTTAAATTATGTCAAGCAATATTTTTTCTTTCTCTATGTTTGCGTGTGTGGAATCTGGATAAAACATAAAAGGTTCTAATATTTGTAATGTCTTGACATCGACAAACAAGCATTCACATCTCAGACTTAAACGCACGGGAAGGAATATGGAAATTCTACAAAAGGAAGTTTGAGTTTCAAACCCAGAACCTCACAACCGTAAGACAGGGATGCTAGCCACTAGTGCACTGTGCTAATATCCTCATCACGATTAGCATCCATCCATCCATCCGCCCATTTTCAACGCCGCTCATCCTGAACAGGGCCGCGAGGGTTGCGGCGGCCTATCCCAGCTGACTACGGGCCAAAGGCTGACTACACCCTAAACTGGTCGCCAGTCAGTTGCAGGGCACATCTAGAGATGAACAACCATTCACACCCACGTCCACACCGCCACTGAATGGGAACCGCTCCCGCACTGCCCGCATACAAGTCAGGCGAGTGGACCACGACATCGTCAGCGACTCCCATTATTAGCATCATCAATGCTAATTAGAGGATGGACATAAAGTTGGTTAAGCCACGTTAAGCATGTCTGGTTCTCATGAAAATACTCTCTGGAAAAAATAATGTCATAGTAAAGTAACAAACTAGCGAGACCAATTCGATGAGCGGTAAGCAAGTATCGTCACCTCACTTGCACAATTCAATATTTTTTAGCTTCATTTAATATGTACAACCACGAGATCAAGGAGGCGAGAAGAAAACGCACACACATGGACACAAGCAGACGATGAGGCAAAGCAAACGCAGGAGCGCGATGAACCTGAGCACGTCGTCGTAAATGTTTCCTATCGGAATGCGACATTACCAAGACCGTCACTTGTGACTAGCAACAATTTACAATACTTCGAAGTCACGATCAGTATCGGGGATTCCGTCCGACAAACAACATGCTGAGCATCGAACGAAGGGAATCCGGAAAGTCAAATCCAAGCAGGCGGGTTCGGGAGTGGAGAGAAAAGGTGGGGGGAGGGCAGTTGCATGACAACCATGTTGGATTTACCTTTTCCTCCATGTGTGACGGTGACTGTGCACACAGCAGCACAGAGAGCAAGCCGGCAAGACACACAGGACACACAGTCTCAGATTAGCGAGAGACACACGATCGGAAAATGAGAAGACACATGAAACCAAACTCTTGAATGTTTCGATGACAAGTGATGTTGACACTTGTTTACTCCGTTCTCGTTTGCCATCTTTTTAAAGTGCGGGATATTTTATATCTGTCTCTTCGTCTTTTCCAAAACGTAACGAATGTCCACCCCTCTCCAATGTTTATGATGCAACTGTATGAAAAAAAAAAAAAAAATCGCACAGGTCAGCGCTCAATTTCTCTCCGTCGCTGCATGTTGGAAGGATTACAATTTATTCGACAATCTGCGCAGGAAGGAGATTTTAGTCTTGCCTGCGTATGGAGCGGACGGGAGGCGATTAATCTGCGCTTCGGCAACAGAAACCGCACCAGATTGTCTCGTGCTCAAAAGTATTTGGAACTGATTTGCTGAGAGGCTTAAAACAGGCAAATTAAATGTATCTCTTTTTTTTCCCCTCAAGAAAAAAAAAAAGAAGCATTTTTAGAAGTGTCTTAAGTCTAGTGTGTGCATGTAACGCCTGCGCAATGGATCCTGACAAACAAATGGCAGCAGCAGTGAAGTGAAGATATGAGAGGCCCAATGAAACATCACAAACAAGATTGTGGGTGTAACATTTGACATCGGCACAAAAACAAACACGCACTGTCAATATTCCCACACCAACATGTACACGTTTCCACACGCGCGCGCACACATGGACAACTCACGTTCGTCCGCTGCCATCTGATTGGCTGCTTCCTGTCTGCTGCAATTTGGAGCGCTCGATATGCTCGACGTATGTCTGGATCATCTTGAATACCAAAGCGTGGAGCCGAAGAGAAGAAGTGGAAAGTAAAATAAGTAAATAATAATTAAAAAATAAAATAATACACTGTCAGCCACATTGCACGAACAAAAATGATTTTCATTTCATTATTTTTGTAATCTGATTCATGATAAATGGAAATAGAGGGAAAACACTTCAGTTATTGTCTGGTTTTATAATAAGAAATGTGTGATTGTCCTGTTTTTTTTTTTTTTTTTCTCAATCCCTTTTCCTACGGGCCAAAGGCTGACTACACCCTGAACTGGTCGCCAGTCAGTTGCAGGGCACATCTAGAGATGAACAACCATTCACACCCACGTCCACACCGCCACTGAATGGGAACCGCTCCCGCACTGCCCGCATACAAGTCAGGCGAGTGGACCACGACATCGTCAGCGACTCCCATTATTAGCATCATCAATGCTAATTAGAGGATGGACATAAAGTTGGTTAAGCCACGTTAAGCATGTCTGGTTCTCATGAAAATACTCTCTGGAAAAAAAATATAATCTCATAGAAAGTAACATACTAGCGAGACCAATTCAATGAGCGGTAAGCAAGTATCGTCACCTCACTTGCACAATTCAATATTTTTTAGCTTCATTTAATATGTACAACCACGAGATCAAGGAGGCGAGAAGAAAACGCACACACATGGACACAAGCAGACGATGAGGCAAAGCAAACGCAGGAGCGCGATGAACCTGAGCACGTCGTCGTAAATGTTTCCTATCGGAATGCGACATTACCAAGACCGTCACTTGTGACTAGCAACAATTTACAATACTTCGAAGTCACGATCAGTATCGGGGATTCCGTCCGACAAACAACATGCTGAGCATCGAACGAAGGGAATCCGGAAAGTCAAATCCAAGCAGGCGGGTTCGGGAGTGGAGAGAAAAGGTGGGGGGAGGGCAGTTGCATGACAACCATGTTGGATTTACCTTTTCCTCCATGTGTGACGGTGACTGTGCACACAGCAGCACAGAGAGCAAGCCGGCAAGACACACAGGACACACAGTCTCAGATTAGCGAGAGACACACGATCGGAAAATGAGAAGACACATGAAACCAAACTCTTGAATGTTTCGATGACAAGTGATGTTGACACTTGTTTACTCCGTTCTCGTTTGCCATCTTTTTAAAGTGCGGGATATTTTATATCTGTCTCTTCGTCTTTTCCAAAACGTAACGAATGTCCACCCCTCTCCAATGTTTATGATGCAACTGTATGAAAAAAAAAAAAAAAAATCGCACAGGTCAGCGCTCAATTTCTCTCCGTCGCTGCATGTTGGAAGGATTACAATTTATTCGACAATCTGCGCAGGAAGGAGATTTTAGTCTTGCCTGCGTATGGAGCGGACGGGAGGCGATTAATCTGCGCTTCGGCAACAGAAACCGCACCAGATTGTCTCGTGCTCAAAAGTATTTGGAACTGATTTGCTGAGAGGCTTAAAACAGGCAAATTAAATGTATCTCTTTTTTTTCCCCTCAAGAAAAAAAAAAAGAAGCATTTTTAGAAGTGTCTTAAGTCTAGTGTGTGCATGTAACGCCTGCGCAATGGATCCTGACAAACAAATGGCAGCAGCAGTGAAGTGAAGATATGAGAGGCCCAATGAAACATCACAAACAAGATTGTGGGTGTAACATTTGACATCGGCACAAAAACAAACACGCACTGTCAATATTCCCACACCAACATGTACACGTTTCCACACGCGCGCGCACACATGGACAACTCACGTTCGTCCGCTGCCATCTGATTGGCTGCTTCCTGTCTGCTGCAATTTGGAGCGCTCGATATGCTCGACGTATGTCTGGATCATCTTGAATACCAAAGCGTGGAGCCGAAGAGAAGAAGTGGAAAGTAAAATAAGTAAATAATAATTAAAAAATAAAATAATACACCGTCAGCCACATTGCACGAACAAAAATGATTTTCATTTCATTATTTTTGTAATCTGATTCATGATAAATGGAAATAGAGGGAAAACACTTCAGTTATTGTCTGGTTTTATAATAAGAAATGTGTGATTGTCCTGTTTTTTTTTTTTTTTTACGCAATGCTTGTTCTAATGTCTTTCATGAGTGAATACAGTCAAGCTGATTACTTTCTCTTCGCGCTTACCTCAGTGTGGCGCTGGTGCAGAGCGTTGTATTCTTTCTTCATGTCAGACTCTCTCTCCTCCAACCTCGTGACTGAGAAACAGACAAATCACTTTGTTGCATTGCACGAAATGTACAAAAATAAATGAATAAAATCCATGATAAGCGAGTCATTGTTTTTGGCAGATTTGTTTTTCAATATTTAAAAAGGACCACAACAATGGATGGTATTTAGATGGTGAAGGGCAAAACACAATCTAAAAATACAATTTAACGATTTGAGCTTGGAGTGAGCTTTTTAGTCCACTCACTTTGGTCAGCATAGTTCTTTGACTTCAGCTCCAGCTGTTTTCCCTGCAGCTCCAAAAATTCCACCTGGACCTGCAGGTCCTTCTTGTCTTCCTCCAACTCATCCTCAAACTCAATGAATTTCTAGAGGAGGTGAAGAGTGAGCACAACAAAGCTTTCAATCAAAATGTGCACAAATGTACAAACGGCAGAAATGATGAATATCATCAAATCGTGTCACCTACGAGCAGAATAAACACAACCTATTATGATAAACACAACAGCGGCTGGTAAATCTAAATGTCCTGTGAAAGCAGCATGATTGTGGAGCGTTGCTTGTTTTGCATGTACAGAATTTGGAAATGAGTAAATCCTCAACCAAGGGGTGCCCAAAATTTTTTGACCGAAGATCTATTTTCAAGGAACAGACTTCCCGGGACGCTTAACGTGAACAAAGCGTCTCCACATCATCATAAGGATGTCAAGGAGTTGACAGTGAGTTGTCTTTTTTTTTTTTATCTTGAGTCTAATAAGCTTGTAATCTGAGCCACTCTTTGCCGCTTCTTCTCCCAAAGGGAGTCGTTGTTTTTCTCAGACCCCTTCAAGTACACTACATTCTTCTGTGAAATTCGATGAACTGCGTGGCTTTCTACATCTCGTTTGACTTCATTCTCGCAGCTTTTGTTGCTCTGTTTCTACTCCTTGCAAGCACAAATCAGGTTACAGTGCCAGACGGCCTGTTTATGCTTAGTCCTTCCCCTCCTCCTCCTGTTTTTGTTTTGCATTGGAAGTGCTGCGGGATCATGGGACTTGTAGTTCTCAAATGTGATGACAAACAGTTGTTAATCAAGCCGATGTTAGAAAAATATATACTTTGCAAATGTCATCAGAGTGACATCAACCAGTAGAGCCTTCAGATTTTCCTCCTAAAGTTGCCATGGGCAGGAGCAGATGATGTGATCTGCCTTTGTGGGTGTGAGAACGCTACAGCAACACTCTTGAACTGAAAATCGCTAGTTTGGGCAAAAACATAAATCCTTATACTTGGGTCTGAAAGGTTGATAAATATACCCACCGTGACAAAAAAGAGTTTTGTGCAACAGATGGAAAGAGACTTCAGACACGAGGTGGAGTTTCTGATGGGGCAGGAGGCCCAATATGCAGCAGGTGCGCTTGACTCACCTCCTCCGCCTGCTTGCGCAGCGCCTTCTCCCTCTCGTACTGGGTGATCAGCTGTTCGTTGTCCTCTTTCAGGAGCTCCAGCTCCACTTCGTGTTCCTGGTTCTCTAACAGCACGGCATCCAGGTTCTCAAGGACATTCACCACCAGTGGCATGAGCTCTTTCACCACTTCCTCATCGTAGCTGCGGATAAGCCTCTCAAACTCCCGGTAAATGCTGTTGGCCAGGCCCGACACTCGCTCCGACATGACGGTACAGGAGCCATAGTCATCCTGGTTATAGAGTTGGAAAATTCCAGGAATGGTTAATGTTGGAAATTTTCATAGTGTGTGGTCTCAACTTAGGGGTGGAGGACCTCAGAGAGGTAAGGCGGAGCGAGAATATTTACAAATTTAAAAACAATTTTTTAAAAAATGCATTTTAAAATCTAAAGGGAGATACTGAAGGGAGACCAAAATTGGAGTTATGTGCTCCCTCCCACGAGCTCCTGTTAGGAGGCAAACGGCATTTTGGACTAACTGGACATGCTTAAGGTCGGACTAGCTAACGCCAAAATAAAGTGCATTACAGGAATGCAGCCAAGATGTAACGAAGGCATGGATTAATGTTTCTAAATGCTGTTGTGATAGGAGGCTTTACACAGCTGCCCCAAAATAAAGGGGCTAGATTTAGACAGATGTGCTAACTGTCTTCCTGTGTGGAGTCTGTATGTTGTCCCCGTGCCTGCGTGGGTTTTGCCAGGTATTTGGGCTTCCTACCACATTCCAAAAACACATTCAAATAAAAGTTTCCAATTTTGACCGTTCCCCAAAATTCCCCATCCGAGACTGCCATGGAAATGTTCCCCATTGCAACCCTACCTGGTAGACCACCTCGTCAATCTGTAGCTCCATCATCTTGGCGTCTGCAGCTGGCTGCGGTGAGCCAGATGAAGACTTTCAAAGGCCTCGTCGACTGTCGAAGTGTTTTGGGATCAGGTCAACGCAGGAGAAACGCGTAATTCCGCATAACAGTCACATCGGCGATGGAAATGTAATCGTACGAAAAATATACGAAGGGCCACTCCTCCTCCTCCAGTTCGTCGTGTCACGGCCCAGCTAGTTAACTCCCTCCGAATAACACAAAAGAGCGACCTCAGCGACGGTGGAACCGCGAGGCTGTCTCTCCAGTGGATGTGGCCTGTCTGGGGCCATGCCGAGTCGGGGGAGAGAAAGTGATGCCTTCGTCGATAATGCCGCACCTGCTTCTCAGCAGCCGCAGGGAGCGAACTCAGCCATTGGTGGTTGGGGGGAATAAATACATTAATTAATTAATATAATAATAAATAAGACCCCCAACGACGATCGAAGTCAATATGAAAAGGTTTGTGCCATTTTTTTTTTCTTTGGGGTCGGGAGGTGATGGTGATGTCTCCCAATGGGAGAGGTTCTCGCTTCCTTTCAGATGGCGGGGCCAGCTGACCCACTGGGGATGACGTCAAACCGACCTGTATCAAGCTAGTGAAAGGTACCGGAAATTTGGATGAAAGTTTCAAATTAAAACGAGAGGATGCATCAGCTCTGAAGTACAAGTAACATCGACCTGTGTCGATGAACAAGAGAGTTGGAAAAAAAACCTCCAAACTGTGAAGGCTACAAAAGTAAATAAGAATTTTTATTGTCAATTAAATTCCGCAAATGTTTGGACTTCTCTCCATATTCACTTGCCTGTCGGTTTTGTTGCCAGTAAATGTCTTAAACGTCACGTTGGTGGGTTTTAAACTGGCAAAAGACAACGCATTTGCCACAAATCATTCTGAAAAATATATTTTTGTTAATTATGTACTAATTGCTCTACCAAATGTTATAAGAGTACACATAAGCTATAACTACATAAGCTACAAACTTCACACTACATCCTTTGTTTTCAGAGTTTAAACAGATGTTCAGGCGAGAGACTGGTACTATTGTGTACTCATTGTAAGGCTAAATTCCTCAACAAAGTCTTAAAGTTCTTCGGGGAGATACAAAAGCATGAAAGTCAGGTTCTAATTTTGCAGTCTGAAACCGGAAGTCGGCAATCTTCCAAAGCACTTGGCTTGATAAATGCTCGGTGAGACGTTATAATAATAATAATGACGATGCACTCTGAAAAACAAAGAACCGCCGATGATACGCAGCTAAAAGGGCTCACTGATAAGCAACATTGATCAGAATTGCGCAGTAAAAGAAACATTCAGACACTATATAGCATCGATTATGTTAAAGTCCATCATGTGCCTATTGATTGATCGCTATTTCAACAATTACGGTATCATCGTTTCTGTTTTATTCACAATTCCGCAAAAATAACGTGTGATATTGGTATCAAAATGTTTCATTTGGCTGAGTCTAATAAGAGAAAGCACAATAGTTATCTACACAAAGATTAAAACAATTGATGAAATAAATTTAATTGCTAATGTCAAGTGTTCGTTTAACAAAAATTATTTGAAATGAGACTATTGTGGTTGTACATTGATGTGTAAGGAAACTAATATCACTGCAAAATATGTTCATGTCGAAAAGGAAATGTAGTAGGGCAGCAGAGAAAATACTCAAGATATGGTGTAAAATCAATTTCATGCAAGATGATTTGAAATTGGTTTGAGTCACAAGGCCTCGCACACTGAAGCACATTGAGTGAAGCTTGAGCGACTGTGTCGTGTGGATGGAAGAAAGAGAGACACAACAAAGGACACAGAAACCCAAAAATGTGAATTAAAAAAAAACTCAGTTTTCACGCGGGTTGTCTCAGTCTGACTTGCATTATGCACACCACTGGGGGGAGGACCATCATTTATTTTGAGGCAATTAACAGGAACAGTCACAGCCCAAAGCTCAATGCATGGACCGAAGTGGTACTCAGCCTGTTGCCAGGGAGAACGGAAATGGATCTAATGGTTTGTTAACAATGTAGTATCATACCGACGATTGTAAACAAATTGCTTTGGCGACAACCTAAAATCAATATTCCTGTTATCATTTTTAACCTGAAAAACGATGAAATTGTATTTGTGGCAGTTAACATTTGTTACATTACCCGAATTATACGTTAATATTTTTTTTATACAACTACCTCAAGGTGGCAGTATCCATTGATCAAAACTACTGCAGTAGCTGGGCAAATTCGCAGGTAGTGGTGATATTTTAGTCCAGAGTGATGCAACCATGCCTAAATTATGTCTTTTTCTGGATTTTGAGCAGAGACAGAGGGTGGCAATTCCATGAGGGAAAGAATTGTCAACAACCGTAGAAAACAAGAGCGGCTTTGTACGCTGAACTTACACCGCTGCAAACATTCAGGGTATGAGCAGTATGTGTTTTGCAAAGTGTCTCACCATTTTATTAGATACCAGTAAAGCGGAATGATGCTCAAACAGTCATTCAACTGCAAAAACATTTAATTGCAATACACAGGATTGAATTCTACTGCACTCATTGCTGCCAGGCACATCAACACACAGGGGGAGGGGCCGGTTCCAGAATACCTTCAATGTGCACCATGAAATGGGTGAAAAGGTGATACCTAAATAGCTCACCTGGACTCAGGTGAGTCACAATTTATCCAGAGCTCCCCTGTCTCCAACTGTTTTAATTTAAAACATAAACAGAGGCCAACCCCGAGGAGAAAAAGCAAACAAAACGGCATGTTCTCAGATAAAGCAAGCAATGAGAGCAGAGCAGAAAATACACATTCGTGTAAAATCATGATGGAATTTCTTTCGGGAACACAAATCTTTTGGAGTAAACAACCACATTCATCTTGGATTCAATGTCATTTTTTTTTTTTGGTAGTTTGCTCCCTGAAGACTCAGTTGACAGTAGACCCTTTGCATCAGGCATGCATTTGGATGACAGGAAGACGAAAGAGACCACTAATGACAGAACTGCTCTCATTGGTGGTCGGGAGTAAGCCACCGAAAAGCAAAGGTAATTTCAAAGGCCACCGTGTTAAGAAAAAAAAAAAAAACAACGCAAAACTTGAGGGCTTATGCACCCTGAAATTTGAGAGAGGGTCAAGTGTCCAAAAACAGTATTGAGATGGAACCATTTCACAGTGGTCGTGATTGTTGATTGAAAAGGCGGTGATTGTATAATGCAGGTTTAGGGTTAATAGAGGAGGGGGGTGGGGTGGTTGGAAGTCAGGCGAAAAGTGCAACAAGTTGAGGACAACAGATCAGTCCGTGTTTGCTTTCAAGAAAAACCGATGCCGATATTCTCATGTACATGTGAGACAATCAGGAGGGGTGGTGGGACTTGGAATGAGATGCATGGTGGAGCAGACAAAACATGTCAAGAGCAGACAGACCCTCTTTAGGAAAAGGAGAGGGGGTGAGAGGATCAGTAGAACACCACGCTGGACTTTCCTCCCGGGGGGTTAAGGACCCTGTTGTGAGAGCGAGGCTTGGGACCCAGGTGAGGCTCGTGCTTCTTAATGTCATCAGTGGGCGGAGTGGATGAGGCGCAAGAAGAGGAGGCAGGCTCTGGGGTAGCCGGAGGAACGGTTGGCTCCTCCTTCGCTGGCACAACGGCTGGTGAGGCAATTTGCTCTTTAACCTCAGGCTGGCTGACGTTGACTTCGGGCTGGCTGACGTTGACTTCAGGCTGGCTGACGTTGACTTCAGGCTGGCTGACTTTGACCTCAGCTGCTTTAACATGAAAGAAATCCATTATGAAAATACCAGACGGGGGAGGGGGCCCACCAAAAAAATCTCAGTTCTGCATTTCATTATTTGATTCTGAGCACAACATAAAACCCTCACTGTGTGCATCTCAAGTTTATGTCAAATGGAGGCTCGGGAGAAAGCAAGCAGTGAATCAAAGTGTGTCAAAAAGTGTATAAAAAGCTCCACCTACACCTCTGTTGACATAACTCTTATTTGCACATTTGGCGGGAATGTTATTCAATTTTGTGATTCTCTGACACTGGCAAAAACATAGTGATAGCTTGATGGACGCATTTATAATATTTGTTGTTACACATACGTACAGCACATTTGACATTTGACAATAAAGTTGTATTCAATTCAATTCAATATTTGAACATGCAAAAACTCAAACTATTTTAATAGTATTGTGTTAGATGCTCACCTGGTGATTCGGGTTCAGGTCCTACAGCTAGATTGTCCTGTAAAAAAATAAAATAAAATAAAATAATCACTTGGCAACATCCAATTATTGACTGCACAAGCTTGTCGTGTTGAAGCAGCAGAGAATGAAATTGAAACATCGAGTAGACTTCACCTTTGGCTTATTTGGGTGACTTCGGCTTGGGCTGGAGACATCTGGACTATCCCCCGACTCAAATATGTTACTGGTTGGTCCACCTGGAGGAAGCGGTCTCTGTGGGTGGACTGGAGGTTCGGGTTCTCCAAATATCCCGCTGCTCTTCCCACCTATAAGACACCATATGCGTGTTATGGGACAGAGTATTAACCCGGACGTATTTTCGCTTTTCTCTTTGCTGTCCACCGTACATTTTTATGGCAATATGTCAAGTTTGGTTCCTCACAATGGTCCCGACATATGACATTTCAATGTTACAAACATTACATCATCGTTGCACAAAATCTCATATTGATGACTCACAAGTCCAAAGATTAGTATGCTTAACTAGGGAAGTGTTTAGCAAAGAGGCGGTTTACGTTGAAGATGAGAAAAGTAGATGTGTCTGTGCAGATATTATCACACCAAAGTATCAGTTTTCACACACTACCTCTTCCCCACATCCATTACACACTTATCTCACCTGGAGGGTTAGAGCGCCTGGGTGCAATCTGGGGCTCCTCTGGGGAGGCGAACAGGTTAGAGGCCATCTTATTCGGTCTTCTAGATTGGGGGGCCTCCTCTTCGTAGCCACCAAACAGATTACTGGAGCCACCACCGGGAGGCCGCAGCACCCTGCAGTGGACAGAGACTCTTAGCTCAACTTCAACGTGAATTAAGTTTGCAATCCAATTATATGAAGTCTAATGACTTTGACGCTGAATCGCTGTAGAAATTAGAACTATCTAACACCAAGTGTGCCATTTAATTTGGTTGACAGGAGGATCATGACTTCCAATGGAATATTTTCATAAACAGTGAACGCCCACATATTAGCAGTTTAGTCATCATAAATGTCACTTATTTTTGGCACTTATTTGGTAGATGTTTGCTGCCATCTTGTGGCACCTTGATACCAAGAACATAGAGTAAGTTGAAGGGAGTTGACTTAAGACTAAAGTAGTGGTTTGCCACTATCTTGTGTCAGTTACTCATATTTTTTTCCTATTCACAGAACTCCGTCCCTCATACTGTTTTGAATGTCAGTGATTCCCATGCACTGTGCTCCCAGAGACCATCCCCCTGCAAGTTATTTATCTTTGTTCATCTATCTATGCCTGCGATGTATATTGACAGACAAAACAATGAAACGCTCTCTTCCAGTACCACCACGAATTTCATTATGGGCTTCAAACTTTTTGAAACATTTTTGTTTAGTCTGCGAGACTTTTCTAGTGTAAATTATGTGTGTTGTGAAACATTGCCGTATGCTACACCGGAATGCTAAAGCAGCATGCACCGTAAAATCTGCAGGCAGTCCACGCTGACAGACAACATGAACATCTGGTCGGAAAGGGCGCCATAACCCTACAAAATTGACGAGACTTTATCAAGTTACCAGAGACCAACACACGATTTAAATCGGGTTGTTCTTAATTCTATGGGAAACAACAGAGCTGACCAACATCAATGAATCTTAGGAAGACCTCGGGTGAATATCATTTCAGGGAACAATGTAGCCGCGTAGCGTAGGAGCTAGCACAAAGACGAGAGAAGAGCTACACACTTCCGCAGGCGCAGCAGACAACGCCTGCTCGCTTAGCCTCAACGCTAAATATAAAAATGTATCAGACAAGTCAACTTTCAACGCGCGAGCTCAATCTGAACCAAACAAGAGATGATGTACGGAAAGGCTACTGGCGTTATAATCGAAAAGGAAAAAAAACACACCAAAAGCTACGACGTATGTTTAATTCACATGACATGGGCTAGTCGAGCAGTTACCTAAGCTTCAAATTATCTTCAACACATCATTCATTAGTCACCTTGAGCTCGGTTTTGACCCGGTGTCCAACCCTTGAAACATGTTCGTCGAAGTCATCGTGGGTTTTGTTGGGAGACTTCAAGTTTCCGAAGACAACTTCGTCACTCTGCCAACTGGGCGACTTGTAGGTTCCTCCTTCGTCTTGTCTGCTCCCACCCAAACTCGTTTGCGAAGAGTATCAGTTGGAGCGAGAGTGACACCGCGCGACGTGACTCGGCAACATGTCGAGCTGTTGTGTGGGGTGCGTTTGTTTTGTGTCGGAGGACAGCCTGCTGAGAGAATCGGCGACACTTGTTTCGGGGGAACAAAAAAATGTTCAAAGTGAAAGTGAAGAATCGTCAGAAAAATACAAAAAAAAAACATACGCAAGTACACTCCTAAAAAAATCTACTTCAACTCGCAAAGTGTTTGTACTTTCCACAACTCGTTCTAATAATTAAAACCAGTGTAATTTGCTGGTTAATTCATGACTGTTAGGCAGTGCCCGTGTTTACTCGGGCGTGACGCTTCTACAGGGCTGCAAATGGCAATGGTTCACGAAACTTGTGTTAAAATAGAATTAGATGTCAAGTAATGTAACCGTTAGTGCGTTTATGGTACTTTAAAAGAAGAAAACCCGAACACGACAGGAAAAGCAATCCAATTGGTGTTTCGCCTAGTATTTCTGCTTACCAATTGGCAGAGTTTTACGTCAATCAATATTTCACCGTGCTCCTCGTGGACTTCCAAACCAATCACAGGATTTGTTTTCGAATTGTAGTGGGCGTGCCAAAGCGCGTGGAGGAGTAAACCACAAGAACTGTCATATGTAGCCAAGTTGGAAGCAAGCGGCTAGCGTTGAATCCTAGATTGGACATCGAATGGAAACGTCGATTTGGGCTTTTACTGCAGGTAATATCTAAGCATGAATGTTGTTATGGGAAGCAACTGGATGTACTTGTTGGAAGGAAACTATTTACACTGACGCATTTTGCAGAGGCATGATGTCAAATAGTTACGCAGCAACGCTAGCTGGTAATGTTAGCAATTGTGGTGGGATCATGTTCTGAAGGGAGATCATTGTAATGTACATACACATACTCTTATTTATGTCAAAGGGCACGTCATTTGATTGCCCGTCTATCTTAAAACACTATATCATTTGTAATGTATTGTTTACACTCTTGTCATCAATCAGTTACCATTTAACTACGAGGTTATTTGGTTTCATCAGTTAGTATTCCTTTGAATGCAATACGTTCGAGTAAGAATACTAGATTTAAAGTCATCTGAAGTCAGAAAGGGCATGCCTTTGACCGTTAAATAAAAGTGCATGTGTTGGCACGTTTTTCATGTCGATTCCACAATTACCCGAGCGCAAGAGGTGTAAACTGGAGGCTGAACATGCTGTATTGTGTCCCAAAAAGTAAATATAGGAGGTGTTTTGAAAGCGATGTCATTTATTACCCATTTAGCTTGCAGGTGACACAACAGGAATTTAAAGGCCGTGTCAAATGCTGTAATTTCTGGTCATTTTCGAACGCAAACAATACCCATGGCGATAATCAGAATTTACCTTTGTTATACAGTATTTATTAATACGTTCTTGTCACCCCCAAGATGTAATACTTTTTTAGAACATCCAAATCTCAGATAAATAACATCGTGACAGATTTTTTGAAACTGTACTTTAAAATCCACTATGAGAGCTTTGAAACATCGCCTTGCCAACGTAGTAACCTGCTACATGGTTATTGATGCTCAGAGAATCATACAGAACATGGTCTTTTGATCTCGACACAGGAATAAGATTTTGTCGACAGTACAATTTGCAACTTGCAATTACATTGTAATCACCAAAGCCAAACAAATGCAGGATGTATCTGAAATAATGTGTTTTGGAGCCTGCACGTCTTCAAACGGAGTGTGACGTAGCGACGTGCACCAAGGTTTATTAAAGTATGATCGTTGAGAATGAGCTCAAGTGACCGCACTTGTGAGGAATATTGTTCGCGACATGGAGCAAATATGACGCTGTAGTGGTGGTTCGAAAAGTTTGATGAGTTGTATTGTCGAAGCATCGAGTAATAATACTGATAGACAACAGTGGAACTGCGCAGAGTTCGCCTCAGTCGAAGCTGGACAACGACGGGGCAGGCAGAGAGCGACGAAACCGTCGTGGATTTATTATGCCCAATTTGAACAGTTATTGCCAATCGAACCGGTCGGACCCATGGTGAAGAGAAAGAAAACGTCGCCCACTTCCGAAGAGCATGAGATTTGGTAAAATTGCGTTCGAAACAAACACTTTAAATAGAGGTCGAATGCACCGACGGGTTCTCGTTGTCGTTTCTGCAGGGCGCTAAAGTGAAAAGCGCTCGCATTTGAATTTAGTTCATATTCAACCTTAATATGAGCGAATTTGATGGCTCGGAAGTCTAGTTAATACCCCTGCCAGTTTCCGTAATGTGTCTGTGGTTAAGTTAAATTTATTTGCAGTCTGCAAATGAATGTATTTGGTGGTGTTTTGTCTGGACTGGAAAAGGGATTTGAAACAAACAGCGGCGGCCATGTTGAGAGACGGCAAACGTCGTGTTTAGAAGTTAATTTTGCTCATCGCCCCGCTCCTCATGTGTCTTTTTGGACTCCGTGTGTTGTGGCAGCATGACACCGGGCTCCAGGGAAGGGATCGGTGTCGATGGGACAGCGAATCCTTCCAGAAAAGCCGACGATTGCGACGAGGAGGAGAGCGGAGAGCAGGCGACCGAGGAGCGCAGTACAAAGGGAGACGAGCGAGTGGAAATTCTTAATCCAGCACCCGCTACTCTCAGCCCCGGTTCGGCTCAACCCGGACCGGGTCTCAGCCATCAGACCCAGCCGTCGGTGGAGCCCAGCACCCCGTGTCACGACCAACATCATTTTCTCCGATCGAGCGTTCGACCCCCAAGCAAAAGGATCCGGAAGGATTCCATCGGCTCGGCCATCAACGGCCATGGCGGGCCCAAATCGAAAGGTAACATCAAACAGGACCCGTGGGTTTGTAAATCCTGTCTACTTGCACTGGTTCTTAACATGCTCTCTGTCTCGGCACTATCTTGTGTCAAGTCGCTAACACAAACTTGCATTGTCACCCCACTAGTTTGCGTCTACAAGTTAGAGGAGGTCTGCCTCTGTGTATGGAAAGGCAGTCCTTTCATCAAAGATTTCACACTTCATTTCCACTAAAGGTGATAGGATGAAAGTCAGAAAGATAAAGGTTGAAAGGCATTGTCTTTGTCCTCATGGTTTTGCCAAAATTTGGTGGCAGTTGGGGTAAAAAGATGTAGAATCGAAAGATCATTTTACAGCCACGTTTCTGCTGCGTATTGTCATGCAAAAATATACACAGCCTTACTGCGACATTCTGACCAGTAGCTCAAGTGAATGAGATCCAATACAAAAAAAAATGTTTTTCCATTGAAAATAATATGCAATTTTGATGGTCAGAGTGTTGTTCATGTAATATTTTCGGTATCATGCTTGTAGTATGCAGTCACGTTGAAACGTCTCAAACTGAGTCAGGTCCAATTTATTGACTTTGTCATGTCAGAAATAGCTCTTAATAAACAATATATTGTTATCTTTGTAACTAACTTCGTGACTCATGTATTTTATAGTGCAAGATAATATAAGATAAGAAAACCTTTATTACAAGTGGTCATAATTAAACAGCCGGTTAATGTTTTCTCGATAGCAATGAATTTGTATGGACAGATGAAGTATTTCAAGCTTGATTGTCTTATTTCTCGAGTTTCTGGCAAAAAGAAAATATTTTTTTGGGGCACTGGCCAGATGTCATTAATTGACCAAGGCATGTGCATTGATGCTTTATTTGTGCTCATCTATTTTGAGCCTTAAAGAGGCGCATCAAGGTTAGTGTCTCTGACGTGCACAACGAGCGAACACCTCCCTCTGTGTTTGTTTTGATGCCGTCTGGCACCATTGTGCTTTAAGCTTGGTGTAAATTTGGCCATTGTAGCCCACACGGAGTTGATTTTGGACCTGTGTGCCAGAGACTTGGCCAAAACGACCAGTTTGTTTTTCTTGCTTCTCTGCCAGAGCAAAACCCCAGTTCAAAAATCTCTGCAGGTTCTGTGTTTGTTTCTATTACCTCACACAAATACACCATTTTGTTAGAGCTATGTTAGAAATGTGTGTCAACCTTGAATGTTCCATAACTTCTCTGTGCATTACAGGAGCGGAGAACGGTTCCTCTTCCCAGGGGGCTGTGGGACAGTCTGGACCCGTGGCTGGCTCTTCGGGAGGAGTCTCCAAGAACGCTAAGGGCCAAGGACCTGCTGAGAAGGAGGAGCAAGCCGGTAATCAAAAGCGAGCCCGTCGACAGTGGGAGTCTTGGAGCGCAGAGGATAAAAACAGCTTCTTCGAAGGGCTCTATGAGGTACGAGGCGGAATGGTCGTTTGACATTAAATGGGCCTTCTCATGTCTAATATCCGTTCATTCCCCTCGACAGCACGGCAAGGATTTCGAGGCCATCCAGAACAACATCGCCATGAAGTACAAGAAGAGAGGCAAGCCAGCTAACATGGTGAAAAACAAGGAACAGGTCCGCCACTTCTACTACCGCACGTGGCACAAGATCTCCAAGCACATTGACTTTGCCAACGGTACGTTGATAAGCGTCACACTCATCGGGGGCTCGGATTTTTGATGCGTTTTGTTCCCGTGGGCCGTGTCTGCGCAGCAATTTGTCTTGAACGTACGGGGTTGTAGCACCACCTGCTGCTTTGACATGTGCTTCTGTATTTGGGAAGGCATTTCTACCATGACGCTTGTGGTGACTTGTGCTTCCTCTCCTGCTCAGTGTATACCCGAGTGCTGAAAAAATCCTCTCAGGAGCTGTATGGTCTCATCTGCTATGCTGAGCTCCGCAAGAAAGTAGGAGGGCGTAAGTAAAGTTCGGCACCCAGTTCCTGAAACGTGTTTTGAGCCTGTGGCTGTGGGGTCTTGAGGGATGCAATTAAATGCGACACACACACACACACACACACACACACACACACACACACACACACACACCTTTGGTCTTTTGGGAAAGCTGCTCCTCGGGAACGCTGATGTAAACCATTCTTTGACGTTGCATTTTGTCTCATACAGTCATGGATGACAAGAATGTCGTCAAGCTGAATGAACTCATCCAACAAGGGTAAGTTGCATCATAACGTTGAATAGCTCAAATGAACATGATATAATCTGTCCCCTAAAATTCTGGTGAAGAGCAGTGATGGGAAATTGGTCTTCATACCCGTTCTTAAGATCTCAAGAGCAACATCTTTCTTTTACATTTCTAGTAGGCGTCATTTTCATATTAGTATTGGAACTTGATTGCGACACGCCTACACAATATTAAAACACTTGGTCCCAATGTTTGCAAAAGAATTCCAGCAAGTCCCATTTGTTAAAATGTGGTCATTGTTGAAAAAGTTTGCTTTTTCAGTCACGGTACAGATGTGAACCAGTTGTTGTTGACGAAACTAATTCACTCCGACTCTTATCGCTATTCCGTCTGTTTGCACAGGGCCACCACGGTGCGCTCCAAAGGGAGGAACTTACGAATTAAAGCCCCCATGTGCCGTGCACTGAAGAAACTTTGTGACCCGGATGGTGAGCACGAACACGCGCGCACACACAAATGCAGCGGAGAAAATACTTAACAAACAACGCTGCTGAAAATGCAAAGTGTGTCAATCATGAGGCACAGGATTTTGTTGGGGCGGGTTTTTAAGAGTAACAATAGCAATGAGGGGGCTGGTGGCGTTTCCACGGTAACACCACATGAAGAAAAGGCAGCGCAGGGAAACGGTGTAGGTGATTATACCGACGAATTGGCACGTGTTCAATAATATTCCCCGACGTTGGCGGAACGCGCCAGAAACTCTCTTATGTGTCATGAAATTGCAAGTCAGTGTTGAGTTGCACGTTGGTGAATTGTGCTCTGCAGGAGTAAGTGACGAGGAGGACCAGAAGCCGGTGCGCTTACCCCTGAAGGTGGCGGTGGAGCTTCAGCCACGCAGCAACTATTCCTGGGCCCGCGTTCAGAGCCTAGCGCACAACCCTCGCCTCAGGTCCGTAACCTTGAGTCGACTACTGCGCCAATATCGATTCCGGAAGACGGCTTGACCTTCAATTTGTTTGGATCTCATTTACATTTCCTGTGTGACAAAGTGAAAGTTATCGCCACATTTTCAAATTGGTAATTGACATGTAAGTGTTCATAGACACTAGACAAGACATTCAGTGTGTTTTTTTTTTTTCTCCTTTGGCCAAAATTCTGGTTATAAAGTAATTCATAACCCATGTTTTTTTGTTTTTTTTGGACCAGAATGGTGGTGGAGCTTCACAGAAAAGTGTCCAGCCTCATCGAGTATCTGAAACAGAAGTGGGCGTATCATGACCAGAGAATTGTATCCGCCCAACACTTTTTTGTTTGGTTACTAACACATCTGCGCAATGCGAGACTTTGTTTCCTGGAATCTGCCACGCTTCTCACCGTCTAATCGGTGTATTAATCAACGGAAAGCAGCAATGTTGTTGTGCACAGGACATTTCCTTGACTCGGCTCTTCTTTTAGATCAAAAGTCTGATGGAAAGGGAAGCTTTAGAGGGGACTCAGTGTGACGCCGCTTCTCCGACGAGCAAAGCGCCGCCTGAGGAGCTTTTCCTTTTCCCGGCCGAGAGCAGCTCCCTGACCACACTACCCGGCGTGGCTCGCGTGGTGCACTCCAAGGCCTCGTGCACAGTCCACTGGCAAGAAAGTGGCAAAGCCCGGCCCAATGCCAAAGAGCTTCCCGCCGCCCAGATCTTGGGTATTCACACAGCGCCGCCTTCGCGTACAGGTACAAAATCCGGACGAGGAAACGCAGCTCCGACTGCTTCGGCGACGACGCCGAGTGACACTTGTCAAACGGAGACCCCGAGCCTTGAGGTCACATCCGAGGGTTCCGCCAAGGCGGAGGAGAAGAGGCCATCATCTCTATCCGTCCTTGCTCAGCAAGTGGTCATTCCTCGGGAGGAGGCAAACGGGGGAGGACTTGTTGAGGGGAGCAAAACCTCCACTCCGAGTTTGGAGTCCGGTGGCGGGCAAGCAGGGACCAAAACGACGGAGGCGTCGTTTAGCGGTGCCGACGACTCACTCGAACCGTGCAAGGAAGAGCCGAGCGGGAACCCCGCCTCCTCCTCAGATGCCATCCAGACTGCTCCGGCCAAGCTCTGCGCGGTCGTTCCCGAGGACGGGGTGCCGCAGAGCTCGCCCCCTGCGGCGAAAGAGCGAACCGTGGAACAGATCAGAGGGGAAGGATGGAACGTCCGCGACGCCGAGAATGTCACGCTGGCAGAGTTGTACTTAATGTTCGGAAAGCCTGGCAAGCTGCAGCTGGAGTACGAGTGGCAGGCCAGCTCACGTCCTCACGAAAAAGGCCGAGCGCCGTCGCAGCACAGACCGTACGGGAAACAACGAGTGCTGCGCTGTCTGCTGCGACTGGTCACCACAGAGGTCAACCCCAAACCTTTGGTAGGCATTTGTTGGTGAATTCTTTTAAAATCTTCACCTAACCCAGCGTGCATGTTTTGCCCTCATGAGATCTAATGCTCCAAATTGTACTAGTTGGCTCTTAGACCAAGTCCCTCTGCGGACAAAATGGAAAAAAACTCGTTGGCGAAATCCTAGTCTGCTTCCTGCTGTCTGTTGCGTTTCTCTTGAGCAAGGCACGCCCCCCTAGCTCAATTTGGATGTCACTTTCACTCCTAATCTTAACGGAACCAGCATGTTTGATGTTTCTTGTCCTCTTCCAGGCGCCTGAGCTTTGTTCCACGGCCACATCGCCCCTCAAGACTCCCCAGGACGATCAAAACCAGGCCCTCACGCCTCCGGGGAAAGGTCCCATTCCAGGGGTCCGTAGCCCGGGTTTTGGCCGGCAGCCGGCCTCTGTCCGAGGTGCCAAGTTACACCTGCCAAACGTGGGGGGCTCAGGTATCAGCAAACCAGAGATTAAACTCAGCGGGTTGCGTTTGCGGCCACTGTCCAGCCAACTTTTATTGCACTAAGGCATTTTACCTAAGAAAGTCCCTCCGCAGGTGCACGCAACCTTCCCCGCTCTCTGCTGGGCTCATCGGGGGCAGCGGCCGGCGACTCTGAAGGCAACGTGTTTGCAGTACCCACCACGCTCCCCCCGAACAGTTCCCGCCACAGCCGAATTTTCTCCCCCAACAAGGAGGCCGAGTTGGCCCTGAGGCAGCAGCTCGACTCCATCAGTGTAAGACGGGCGCATTTTTGCACCAGCAAATTCCAAGCCCACATTCTGATGCGGTCGGCGTGATTGTCAATGGCTCCCATTCGTAGATGCAGTCGGATCTTTTCCTCTCACGGCCAAGAAAACCTCGAAACAAACTCCGGAAGCCGCTCGTCGTTCAGGTGAGTTTCTCTGCGTTGCCGATTTTATCCCAACGCGGCCGACATCCGGCTAAGCTGCTTGCGCCTCGTCCATAGCGAACACTCCTACCGCAAATTACGGGGGACACTTCGCAGCACTTCTGCTCCTTATCCATCCTCTCCAACTCCTCCGCCACAGGTACTGCCTTCCAACGTTTGATTTCTAGACACAAACAGACCGGGTCATAACTGTCCAATTATTGTTGGTCTCCCTCACTTCCTGTTTTTCGCCTCAGGAACTGGATCTTTCCGGCCAATTCAAACCCGGCTTGCCCCCGCCTGCCTCCCTCTACCGTCCAAAGCCTCTTCCTCAGCGGCCTCCGGCTCGGCAGGAGCCAGCCAGCTCTCCAGTATGTCTCATCTTGTTTCTAACTCTGTCAAAGTTTGTAGACATGACACACTGCTACAACATTCAGAGAAGAATCACTTATTTTCACATTATGTGCAAAGTAAAAACAATTCTATTCCTATTATTTCTGTTCAAACAATCTTATGGAGAAAACAGAGAAAATCTTTAGTTCAATCATTCTTATTTGCGTTGTCTATTAGCGAAGGTGATAAATCGGGGGGGAAAAAAAAGGCCGTATTTCCCGGACCTCCAATAAATGTGTCAATTCTTTTCATGTCCGTGTGTTTTATCCAAATAGCGAATGTTTCTGAGCAGTTCTCCGTTCTTCTCAGGTGCAATTGACCTTGCAGCTAAGACTGCGGGTATCATTCCAGGAAGTCCTTGCCGGGACCCGGATTCTCCTGCACCGGTCGCCCCTGCGCCGATTGTTGATACTGAACCAGACTCTCAGCTCCTCCAGCACAATGTCTCAGAGGTCAGATGATTTTTGGGAATCAATGAATCCCATTTCCATAATCAGCTATTCGAATTGAGGTTGTAAATGTCGGTCAGTGTCAAAAACAACGCACGGTGTTCCTTTCACAGAACGGTCTGCCTCCGCCATCTCCTGGAGTGACGGGGGGTGGAGACTCGCTCCTCTCTCCACCCAGCGTGGCTTCATTACTGGACATCTCTCTGCCGGGCCCCCCTGAGGAAGCTCTGACCCCGGGAGAGAATCAAACACACATCAGCGACTCCATCATTGAGCTGGCCATCAATTCTGCCCACTACGGTGCGTGAACGCGGACGGGTAGACTTGACGAAAGAGCACGGCCATAATTGAAGCATTGAATGAGCGATTCGATGGCTGTCACGATGCAGGGGAGGAAGCGGCACTCACTTCAGCTAAACTGAGTAGCGGCGACGGTTCCAAACTGCTGGCCTCGTCCCCTTCCGTCAGCCCGTCCCGGGGCTGGATCCCTTCGCCCAGCCACGACCCGCAGTGGTATCCCAGTGACTCATCCGACTCCACTCTGGGATGCCTCCTCTGTGAGTCTCTCGAGGGTCTTTTAGCCAAATGGACGGCATCCTCTTGTAATGTGCCCTGATGTGATGTCATTCCAGCCAGCATGGTTTCTTCTGAAAAGGGCAGGCGGAGCACCCTCACCCCCTCCGGCCCCTCCAGTGGCACGGCTTTGCTGGGTCCCAGCCTGCTTGACTGCAACTCGCATGATTCCTTTCAGTCGCGCGGTCTTCCAGATGTGGCAGAGGTGCGTTTTGCACTTTTGTCAGCTGCATATACGTCCAGTCACTCATAAAACACGCATTGTTTGAATCCACCTTCACACCGTCGCTGTTTACAAATGCATTGCGGTGCATTAAAAACAATTTGAAGGCTGTTCGGTTATTTGTTCTGGTGTCCCCACCTTGGCCACATGAGGGCAATATTCGCGCGACAAACATACTTGAATGAGACGTCTCAAGTTCTCTCGGCTCATTTGTATGGCACTCATATTAGTTGCTTTTCAGAGGATAAAGAATACATGACTGCTGTGATATATTTTCTTTCTACATGTGTTGCCGCACCGTTTTGTCCCATCTATTGCACCACAACATCAATATGTTTTAGTGTTAGCTCGCGGACTGAAGCTAAATGGTTGGTTTAAATGCACACTCATTTCCAGTGGAACCCGTTTGTGTCTTTTCCATATTCGCATATTTTTTAAGGCTTTATCGTGCATTTAAACTGTTGTATGTTGCGCTCGCAGATGGACTCGCAGCTTGCCTGCATGATGAGCGAGAGCAGCGTGGACTACATTGCGCGCTTCAACGACCTGGCTCAGGAGCTCGCCGTGGCCGAGCCTTCGATTCCGCCCCCCTGAGTGGGAGGCGGGACGGCTCATTCGACACCATCTGGACAAAGCAAGTGAGCGCGTTCTACCGGCTACCGAGGAGCAAAAACGACTGCGGAAACAGACCAGTACCGAAAGCCATCCCTGCTCTGTTTTTAAGTGCAATAATTACATTGTGACGGCCGCATTGTTCAAAGACATGTTGGCTGCACTGAACTTTTTGCAACGAGATGAAAATGCCCTTTAAAGACTCATGCGCGAGCAAAACACAACCTCATGTACAGGAAGTTACTCTGCCATATCTGAACAAAAATATGTCACTGATCCTGTGTTTTTTTTCTTCTGTTTTATGTCAGTCCTCGAAAATGTGCAAATCCACCAAAATGTGCAGTTACACTACTCACAAAAAGTTGAGCATGTTTGGATTTGGATGAAATTCCAGTACGAACCGAAAATGCACTCTTAACTTTTACCGTCTTTAGTCTTTTGAATGCGCATATCCCGGCTGTCCGGTTTTCAGGACGAGGAGCCGAATGTCACAGCAGGTTGCGACGGAAATGCAGCGAGACTGCAAGTCACAAAAAGGCCTAGAAATGGATGTTCGTGAATTTCAATGATAAACTCCTTTTTAGAGATTAGCAGGTTGAACGTGCGCACTCTAAGTTTAGAGGAGGTGAAAATTGGATTTCCGCTGTCAAGGTTGTAGCGCGTTTTGGTTCATTGTGAATGTTGACCGGAAGGCTCAGTACCCTTTACATTTTTGTGAGTAGTGCATACATACCGACAAAAGGCGAGAACGCAACACTACAATCTCGATCGTGCTCTTGTTGAAGTTGCCTTGTATTTCTTAACGTTCATATCGTCTCCATCCGTTCCGTTTAAGCAGTTTCGTGAACATTTACGGCATGTATTCCGTTTTTCTTTGAGGTAGGAAGCAAAGTGGCAGCTCGGGCCGTGAGAAAGTTGGAGGAATAACTCTTCGGTGACTTCATTTCAATTTGGTGCTGAAATATTTTAAATCGGTGTAAATTTCCCGCCTGTTTGTTGAACTTGTATCTGTGATAACAAAATATTTCGAGCTCCACCGACTGATCGAAACCTTTTGAATTTATTAACCAAGTACACGGATATTCATTCTACTCCGTACATTTTTTTTTTTTTAATTGAACAGTAACACTCCTTTTAACTTCCAATGTGAGTGTGAGCAACGGATTTACTTTTCGTGACATAACATTGGACTGGTTGTGTTGAAGCCAGTTGAAAAGTTGACTGATACCCAAAGTGAATGCCTGTGCCAAAGTCACTCCAAATTGCTACCGCGCAGCTTTTACCCCGGGCTGCTCTTTCGATGGTGATGTTGAACAGACACTTTACCCGTTTTGGTGCTCACACATCTCAAAAAGTCCACCATCATTGCATCAAGTGGTTTATCGAACCAGCATCATCCCAGTGTGAATTTGTACTTTTGAGTTGATTGGATCTGCAATCGGAAGATGAGAAAGCACCGTGCTATATGTAAATTTCTAATCTGAGATTTTTTTTTTAATTACAGGTTTTAAACTTTCTTTTTTGAAGAAGAACTTTGTTTGTACAGTTGTGATTCCAATATTCACTTCGCTTTTGTAACATAATGTAAATTGTTATCCGGAATATTTATTGTTAACATTTCTAAAGAAAGTGGATCTCTTTAACTTAAGACAATATCTAAAAACGGAACCATCTGTTGAAAATTTCCATTGGTCAATGGTGTTTTTATTCTGTGCATAAAGTTGGCTATAAAACTTTTTTTTCTTTTGTATTTGTGTCTTTTTTTTTTTTTTTTGGTGTTTTTTTTTTTTTTTTGGTGTTTTTTTTTTTTTTTTGCCACAGTGATGTGGATGTAGTGTTCATGCACAGTGAGGTGAGCTAGATTATATTTTAAAAAGGTGTTTGGAATATAGCAACTATCGACTTAGTTAGCTCAAGTATTTTTGGGTTTGTGCTCCTTGCGAGCGCGAGAGGACATGAGTTTAAAGAAGAGGGCAGGCCACAGTGTGCGTAGGTAGATCGCCGCCGTGGGCAAAGGTCCTGCCAAAACAACGTCTTTGCTCTTGTGACGCACAGCTTTCAGAACGGCCTGAGCCACATCCTTGGGATCGCGACCCGTCGCTGTGGTTGTGTCCACAACTGAAAAATAGTCACACGTGACAAAACACGAGTCAAATGTTCCCCCTTGATCATCATGCACTTGCTTCCCCCCCCCCTGTCGTGTCATTTCAAATGAAGTTTGGTTCCATTTTTGCATATCTGATGCAACGCTGGCAGCCAATTTTCCAGTGACAACATTGACAGGAAGTGAAAATACAGGAAATGGGGGCGAGTGGCCTTGCTAGAGATAACAGACATACAATACCTGTACTGTTTAAAATTAAGACCTCTGGCAATGTTAGTTGAAAAGGTGACATTTTTCTAAACGCTGAAGATCAGATTGTGTGAAAGGAGGCCATTTTTTTAGAAGAATCTGCTTGAATCTACATATTTGCCATGTAATGTCCCTTAAGAGCGCTTTTTTTGCAATTTCCTTGTACTGTATCTTGAAAGGAGGACTTTGTTCAGCCTTACCGCCATATTTGGATCCGTCTCCCGTGACTGCATTGACAGACAGATTTGTCCTGATGTATCCCGGACTAATGACTGTCACGAAAATCCCGTAACGCTCTACCTCCGCCCGTAAACAATCAAAGTAGGCCTGGGTGGCGTGTTTGGAGGCTGCATCTAAATACCAGAAGAGACAAAGCACAATCCTGTTTCATTTCAATTCAGTATGGGGGTGGAAAAAAACATTTTTGCTTTGACAAAAATAAAGAACTTACAGGCTGATCTGTAAGGAATAGCGATCTTGCCCTGAACGCTGCTTATGACAACAATATGACCAGTGTGCTGGCGAACCATGGAAGGCAGGAGAGCTGATCAAAGGAAAAGGAAGAATTAATTTACACTATTCAAAAAAATGATGCACATTGTATTTCGGGGGGAATTTCAGGATGAACTAATTACTGTATTTCTTGGACTGTAATTCGCAATTTTTTTCAATATGATGTCACTCGACAATGGCGACCCCATGGAGACACAGACTATGAATGGCAACATAATTTACAAGATTATAAACAAATATTTAGCTTTATTTATCTGTTATTGCATTATTTTTTTTTGTTCGAATAACTAAACTGGGCACATCAAGTGCATTGATATTTGAAGAAAAGTCATGATTGAATCAAGGACCTTTTTTGAGCGTAGGCGTGCTAACCATTAGCCCAATGAGCTAACTGCATGCTCCTCACTGACCTTGCGTAAGAGCGACTGGCCCGAAGTAATTTGTTTCCATAACGTCCCTCTGAACCGATAGTTGAGTGTCCAGGATGTTGCCACGGTAACTGATTCCGGCATTATTGATGAGGACGTCCACTCGTCCGTAACACTTCAAGATGTCCTCTGCCACCCTGTCCATCAATTGTGTGTCGCTTAGGTCGAAGATGACGGTGCTGGGAACATGCGTCTGTGCGTTGAACACAGAAGTGTGGTCAACCCACAAAGACTTCACAATGTCAAAGCAAGCCTTTAAAATAGTGTAGTTGCTTAAATGTTTGTTTGATAGACGATTGAATTGAGTTATTTATGTACCCGAGTATTGTGGTTAAAGAGTGTTTTTATGTGTGTGAATGAATACCTGCTGCTTTTTGTCCCTTGTGCTTGTGATCAACTCTTCAACCACCTGCTGCAGTCGACCTGCATCTCGACCGCACAGGACTAATCGAGCCCCTGCACCGTGGAACACGCGGGCACATTCTACAATGGCAAAATCACAATCGAACAAACTCAAAATCAATCGGCAGGTTGGGAAGAAATGAGGAGGAAGCTGAGCTGACCTTTGCCCAATCCGGAGCTGGCACCCGTGATGACCACCACTGCGTCCTGGAGAGCAGCTTTGGCTCTGAGTCGGCCAAGTAGGCGATAGAGTAGGAAACCTCCCACGCTTGCTAGGAGCAATGCTGATTGCACTCCTCCTCCGGTGACACGTTCCATCACCTACACACAATGGACATCACAGTAATATCATCAGCTGAATGGCTCAAAAAAATGGTCCTGGTTGTTATGATGACTTCGAAATTTCTCCAAAGATCAACTAAGCGTGGTATATGGCATGACAAGAGTCCAATTTGTAGGCGACAAACCCGCTTCAAAAACTTTCAAGTCAGTAAAGAAATTCTCAAAAGGTCTGTGTACCAACTTGAGTCAAGCGCCGTTCGGAACTGCAAAAGGTCCTATGACATAGGACCTAGACATTAGGACATGGGACCTCAGGGCGATGCTGTGCTAGCACATGGGACCTATATGCTAGCACAGCATCGCTCTGACAGTAAACGTTTAACCCGGACGTAAAATTGCACTAATGCTGATGTTATCCAGCTCCGGCAGTGCAACAGGGAAGAGTTTACAAACAATGCAGTACTCGCCTTGATTTTGCACAGTGATTCTCTTGAGTATTGAGGGGTTTTCCCCCCCAAACAGACGCGACAGTTTCAATCTTCTTCTTTTTATTTACTGACGGATTACGTCTCTTTGGTGCATACCGCCACCTACTGTACAAGAGCGCAAAGGGACTTCGCAGGCTAGCATGGCTAGCCGCTATGCTATCAACGGGACTGAGACGTCGAACGCAGAGAATGAACATACACACACAATTACATATACTATACACATACAGTATGCAACAATATCCTTCCGATTAAACCTGTGTCATGAAGGGGTTTCGTTCTTCTTGGCATTAAATCTTTATGAGAAGCCGATAATCAGGCAAAGCTTCATTGTTGTAAGTGTAATTTGCTGTGTGATAGCAATGTCAAAAGTAGGATTTGATCAAGATGGCTCATTTTGAAGCGGAAAACTTACCATTAAGTTCATTTCTGTAGAATCTTATATCAAGTTGGGATTTGCCTATGGAATATTTAATTCCATTTTGTTCCCTTAGGTTTTGAACAACGGATCTGGATTTCACTTATTTCAGCAATGAATAATCGAGTTTGTTGTTGACTGAAGAATTGATATAACACTCGTTTTGATGTACAATTGTGTGAAAAGGATGGGATTATTTCCAACTATGAAGAAAGAAAATCTTCTGATGTAAATCAGTTAACCTCGTCCCAAAATGACAATTTAATAAAGCTATTTTTACAAAGCCGAAGCTCTCCTGAAATATGTAAATGTGAGCATTTGTTGTGAAATCATCACCTGAAGACTCCTCATTGCAGAATATCGCCTCTGCCTTCCAAAAAGAATTAAACAGACAGAGCATCCTGGAATCTGAAAACACTTGTCGGACAGTTGGTTTCATCACAACATTGTGAAAGAACCGTTGGGTGTAAAGCTTTCCGTCCCGGCACCACACATACCGTTAAACACAGGCAGCATTCCACTGCTACTTGATACTACCCAAGATGCGCAAAATTTTTGCACGTTTACGTTGTCATCCGATTCTGTGCCACTTTTGCAGAACAGTGTTTTATATATATTTAAATAAAATAGAATAAAACAACTTGTTTTGGTTAACGCTTAAAAGAATAACGATATAAAATTACAAGCAGAGCATTTGTCCCTTGGTATTTGTTTAACTTTACAAAGAAAATCTGCCAATTTTTTGGGTGGATGTTTGAATGTCGCAACTTTGACTTATGGTCTAACGTGTTTAAAAAAATAAAATACAGAGAACCCAGGCTATACATATCATGGACCACTTTATCAACTTTGAATGGTTTCCATGACTGGATGTTACCCGTTTGCTTGCAGAAAGTCAAATATACAGAGGCACGCGTTTGAAATAGCCTAATGTTTAATGAAAGGTGAATTACTGATCAGCAAGTAAGGGAGTACAGTCAAACTACGAGGGAAAGGGTAAAGCTCAAATCACACGTGTCCATCTCAACCACGCAGCTTCAGCTGGAGCCTTTACACGAACGGCATGTGTCAGAATGCAGGGAAGGAGGCGCAAAGGTACTAAAGAGATCGTGTGTGCTGTGGTTGTCACTTAAAGAAAACAAATGGAGGCAGGGGAGGGGGGTCTTCCTTATAGTTTTTAACTATATCCCTCTGATCAAAGTTCAAGCAGCCCCTACAAGTGCTGTGGGCTCCATTGTGACCTTCCACTTTTCTTACACCAGACTGTGGATAGGTTTATTGTTTTGTTTGTTTTTTTTTCCATTTTTCTGTCGGTTCTTAAATGGTCTTCAGAGTGCACTCATACAGCATAGAGTTCGTAGATCTTCTTGGCGCAGTACACCAGCGCGGCCAGTGCTACCGTGTTATGGAGTCTCTTTCTGTGGATGTCATCCCTGCGCACCAAGACCACCGGCGTGGATGAGGTGAGCGTGTGCAGGGGCAGCCGCGACAGTTTTTGGCTGTCATATTCCACCTGGTACTTGCAGCAGGGGTCAAACTGCCACGAAATCCCATAGAGGGCGGCGCAGGCGACGCTGAGGGCGCCGGCTGGCAATGCCACGTAGCGCGAGTATTCTGGAGGCAGCGAAAGCGGCGTCAAGAGGCAAGCGGCGCCCGACAACACGGCCGTCTTGTGCAGGCAGTTGCCCACCGTAATCCACCGCGCCGTCTCATCGCCGATACGTGTGGGCTCGATCACAATGTATTTATACTGGGCCTCCAGTGCCTGCTCCAGCTCATATTCAAACTGGTCCTGCGCGTTCTCCCCGTTGTAGATCTCGTGAACAATGTAGCAGTCAGTCGCCGCCATCACGCCCCTGCAAACAAGGTGACACGCAGGGAACAGTGAGGACAACCCCAAAAAATAAAACACCATTCAATGCGCAAAGCATTTCCTAAGTTGTGTAAAAGTGTTCAATAGATGGCAAGGTGCAATAATATCTAAGCGCAACACTTGCCGAGCTTCCCAACCGATGCCACATCTTCAAATCAAATCTCGTTTCCTCATCAAATCTACGTGAAGTTTGTCCATATACTGTACAATATTATTATATTGCCCTCTGCTGGTCAAGGCGCACACACGCTAGAATGAGCCGCACACAGTGGGTACACTCAATTATCAGGACGTTTCATCCTTTAAAATAATATTACTAGTACAATACTAGTGTCCGATTCTTTTTTTTTTTTTTTTACTCAGAAACATGCCACAACATTTTTATTGGCGTTTTGCGACGCTTGAAATGATTAAAGGCATTTCCATTCATTGAAATGGAGAAAGTTAACCGGAGAGACGAATGTTTTAAGTTACAAGCGTCGTCACAGAATGAAATGAGACAAAGGCAAAGCACCACATATAGTCAGAAAAACGGCACGGTCCAGTTTGGCACATACAACTTAATTTTCAGTCTGTGAAGTACTGTTACAATTCTTTAATCTCTGAAGGTGCGAATGCGCGGATGTGCAGTACATCAACATGGAAGTATTCCTAAATCAACTAAAACGACAGTAAAAAGCTCAAGGTTGTTGCGTTGGAATAGGCAACAATTATTGTTTTGTAACGCGCAGGAGACAGTGTAGCCAAGCGAGGCTAACTGGCTTGCATGGAAGAAACTTGTGGTGACTGGCGAGCTAAGTTAGGAAGAATCCATGCCATTAGTGGGACAAACGTAGCTAATTCGGGACAAAACACGCAATTTAGCGGATCAATGAAGGTCAATAGCGCACAGTCCCACCAACGTAAAGATTCAACACAGTGTTCCTACTCGATGATCGGCTGATGTGAAATATCGAAAACATCACACGAGCCTCTAGATTTCTTCCTTGCTAACACTAGCCAGCAGACACGTTAGCGACGTAGCATGCTAATGTTAGCTCGGTATTAGATACAATTCAATTTTTCAGTACGGGCTTTTCGTTTTCTATTTGAAACATAAATACGTTATTTGTCTGACAATAGGTGACTCAGACAAACGTTTCGACAAGAGCGAAATATGTTCGTTGAATAAGCAAGATGTGAAGTAACTGACCTCTCCCTGCTTACTGGGACACCGCGCCTCCTTCCCAGCGACGCCATGTTGGAGATAGAGCCGTGATGGCAAGTGACGCATGGCGGTGTAAGGCTTTCTGGGTAATGTAGTATTTGAAAAGTGACTTACAAGAACTTCTGCGCAAAAGTAAACCACATTGCCCATAATGCATAAGATTCGTGCGTCTGCGTTACGTACTTTATAAGAGCACGTTGACGTTTCGAGAGGTCATAAGAAATACATACATACATATGACGCATTCAATGGACTCTGTAGGAGCGGCTATTTGACAATTATTCGAATTCGCCATCAAAAAAACACATTTTAAATCGTACACGAACTGTGAAAGATTATTAACACTTGAATTAGTTAAAGAGGGGGGGAAACGTATGAATCGCATTGTGTTATTTTTGGACAATGATTTATGTATTGATGAGTGCTCGGTACTCAAGCATGCTGTGCCTCGCGTGCTCCGCCTCCGCCTCTCTGTTCTGTTCCTACGCTATCGGCTATCTACGTGCTGTAACTTGACGCCAACATAATGACTCTTCACGTTTTGGATGTGATAACAGCTGCCACAACGTGCTATATGCTGCTGACTGTTGCATCTATGCAGTACAATGAGAGAGCAACAAAAATACACAGAGCACTTGCTTAACAGAGCACTTGTCTATAAAATTACCCCACTTCATCGTAAATACCGGACAAGTTTTTTTCTTCTTTTGTACGAGCCATCTCCGAATGTTCCTGTTAAGAGCATCCATTGCCTACAATCTTCTTTCAGATTTGATGTAAAACATTCCATTTGGTTCTTGATCTTCCTGCTTTTCGTGTCCCTGCAACTGTACTTGTAGCTGCATCACGTCCAATAAATATTAATATTTATTATAAAATACCACCAGTTTGTGTGTAAATGATATTGCGCCATCACACAAAAATTCTTCCTTTTTGTATGTTTTATGACTTTATTCGTACAATAAAGTGTGAAGCACACAACATTTTCACAGTCAAGTGACTGTTTGAAAGGGTGAAGTCATTTAACTCAAGAAAACGCACATATACATACATATGAACAAGAAATGAAATATTGCCTAGTAATCGGTGATTGCCACCCAGTAAACGAGTATTTTCTGCACTCAAAGCAGTCAGTCGGCCCTACATGCGAACGTAGCGCTGCTATAGTGTTAGGAATTTCCTGAGGTTTTGCTTCTCAACACCTAGATTGTCAACAGCAAAGGGAGCCAAGCTAGGGGGGAAAACCACAGTGAAACATTTTAGGGATTATGATTTGACAACACAATGATATCTATCATTGTGAAATCCCAAAGCGCGGTTCTTCGTGGTGTCGAAGAATGACACAACAATAGGAACGCAGTGAGTAAACTCCAGCCATCCGGTTCAAGTTCTAGAATCAACAAAGGATGTGTTTGACCTTGAATAGAAATGCCCTGAATGCAGCTGTGCTGTTTTAAAAATGCTGGTTTGTTTATTTGCACACGTCACAGTGACAGGCTATCTATCACATGGGTGTCAGAAATAAAATGATTTGTGTCCTGTAGTTCATCTGAATTCTTTCCAAGCTTTGGCTTGACCAAGCCAAGGTATCACGCCCTTTGCTAAAGTGGTTTTATTTCTGCGAAGACCGGTTCACTTCAGCCTAACAGAAAAAAAAAAAGGTTGCGTAAATATACAATATAGGGGAATCACAGGGATATATATCTGATATTGTTTTAATTAGAGAATTAACATATCCCGACATTTGCAACAATATTTCAGCCCCGCAAAACTTTCAAATGGGGTGTTCAGATGATTAGTTTTGACAATCTATTAATGACACGCAGTGGTCGCTTTTGAATTTCTCACAAGGCTAAAAATGCACTTGCACGCATAGATTTGTCTGATCTCCTTTAGACTGGCGCAAGGATGTCTTGCATGAATTACTTTGTATGCTGCCAATTTTCATGATTACACATCATAAATTATGACCATCTTGAAAATTGACCACGCCTCAACACAACATGGCAACAGTGGCAAGGTCAAACAAAGGTCAACTTTTGTAAAAAGTCAAATGCTGTCAAACCATCATGAAGAAAAACAAAAGGTGCATACACCTTACGAGCTCTGCCTACCTGTGAGCAAATAAAACGCAACTCCCATTTCAATTGTTACACACAGGTGAGGAATTCGCATCCTGAATCTTTTCCATCTGATAGAGACAATCGACTCAAGTCAGCTGATTTCTGTTGGAGGAGCTTGCCCTTGTTGTGGATAGATGCCACCGAGTCAAGTCAGCATTCAAGTTTCTTGCAAGGAGCTCATCTGGCTCCTTCAAACAATGCCTGGAAGGTCCTAGGTGGGATGTAAGCCTTGAAATCCAAAGCATACCTCACTTTTGAGAGTGTGTCTCTCTCTCGCTTTCTCTTTTCTGTCTTTGGCACCATGTGAGGTCATTGGTAAATATGTTCAAAGTAATGAGGTTGAGGATTCTCTTTGACGTATTTCTGAATGTACCAACAGGTCAGATGAGCTTTCAGATCTTCTTCGACCACGAAGTCCATGGCTGCCTGCGTTCACAGAAGCATACTTGTATTTCTCGCCGAAGTTACAGTCATGGGGTGTGCTTCGTACGACACGTGACAAATGGCAATGTCGGTGGACTTTACCTTGGCCAGGTGTTTGGCGATTCCTCTCCCTCGGTAAGCATCTGGTACTTCAGTATGTTGCAGGTCCACTGTCTTCTTCCCAACATATTCATACAGAAGAACTGCACGATCGTGCGACCCTGAGGGACAAAATTGACGCGGTTACTACTTTCTATCCACCCGCTTTGCTAGTTTACATTAAGTTGTACTGCCTCAGCTCAGTGGCATCCGTCATCGATTAAAGGGCTCATATTTAACGTGCAAGCTAGAAATCAACAAAGTTGATACTAACACAGCCCCTTTTGTTTTCTAGACAACAAAACAAAGCTCACCAAAATTACATTTAAAAATAGAGCTTAAATGTGGAAGATGAATCGAGCTATTTTTAATGTGTTTTCAAACAAACAGATTTTAAACACCAGATTGTTTCCTCTCATTTGGTCTACTTGTGTTGACTTTTTTTTTTGGTGGGGGGGGGGGGTCCCTAAAGTGTAATTTAATTGTGTTTGCCTGGATACAAATTGTATTAGTTGGTTCCATGCAAGTTTTTTTGTTTTTTGCGAACACTTCATTTGGCTTTGTTTTGTGATAACAATGCATCGTTTGTATTGGCCTTATACGTGTTTCCTATTACTGCACCACAACAAGTCATTAGTAAAGGCCTATGAGTGAATCGTATAATGTGTGCAATGATGACTGCTGGATGAAGTCTTGCGCTTCCATCGTTAAATGAAGCTAACTTAACAACAAGCTGTGAGCTAGCATTAGCCAAAAGCTACCACCACCACTAACATCATGTTGAACATACCGTTTAGCCTAATGACAAATTGTCGACGCTTTTTGTCGTGTTCCACCTGGATTTGAGGGTTGTTGGCGTCGAAGACATTTGCTTGTGCTGTGTGGGCCATAGCGGCGGGCTTCAACAAAAACAAAGAAACAAACAAACAAAAACACGACGACGATGCGAAAAAACGAGAGTGCAGCGGTGCCAAGCAGAAATGGCTCCAGACTACAGGAGAAGCAAAACACTTCAGGCAACGAAATCAGCTGGAGGGTCACGTGACCTCCGGCCAATCGGCGGCTGGCTAGTAGGTGGGAACTAAAAATGACAACGCTCCGAGAATATTTTTTTTCTCTTAGAAATAGCTACATGGTGAGTCGGTGACGCATTGCCGGGTATTACCCCACAGCATTCATAGCACTGAGTAGCAGTGAGGATGACGTCAGTCAATGCAAAGAACTTATAAGTATGACATCATTGCTCCATCGCTACCTGTTTCTGTGACACACTACACCAGTTCCTCCCAACTCTTATTGATCCAAGGCATATACAATACATATTTTAAATACAAACGCGTATATAATATATAACAGCACATCAAAAAACAAAATGTCACAAAAAGCAGCGGTTACCTTGACTGATAGGCGCCCACAATTTACTGACGCCACCTGGTGGCATCTTGGTGCAATAAAATAACCTTCAATATTGCGATTGCAATTTAATTTGCAAATGTTTTTTCAAGGTCTTCTTCTCTTCCTTCATTTAATTGTACACACACACACACACACACACACACACACACACACACACACACACGCACACACACACACACACACAAAGCAATTATCAAGGACCCGGAATACATTCTGTCAACTCAAATAATTTGCATGTGCTGCTGCATGATGTGAGGTTGACACGGATCGGAGTAAATAGTTAGATGATAATGATCTTGCATTCAGTTATTGGTCTTATTTTCACCCCCCCCCCAAAAAAAGAAAAAAACAACAACTACAACAACAACAAATGCAGCAATGGGATACTTTAATAGGTCACTTCCAGTGCTCGTAGAACACTAAATTAGATTAAACAGAAGTGAGTTCGTGTGATGTACCTCACTATTCAAGTGGATCAAGTAAAAAACAAAACAAAAAAAAACGACTGACCATAATATCATACATTTTGTGGACATTCAAAGGATTTTAAAGATGTGCCAAGTGACGGTGTGGTAATCCTGTTAATCTTTTGACCTCGTTCCTCAAAACTAATGGAGTTTGTCAACTGTCGAGGATTACACATGTCCGACACTTCTCCGCACTGCTTGTTTGTGATTTGCTCGCTCATTTTGTGAGCAATAGGACAGCTTTTTTTTTTTTTTTTTTGCAGGTGAATGAATAATTTAGCCAGGTCTCCCTTTGGCCTTCACATGTGGAACTTTATATATTTTTTTAATCATATTTATTTCCCCATTTTGCTGTAAAAAGTTGGATTTTCATTCAGGACATTCTTCAGATCCTCACTGAAAATGATGTCCAAGGCTCCAAGGTAAGAAACAAGTTGGCGTCACATTTTATAGCAAATAAATACATAAACAAATAACATTCAAGTAAATGACAAATTGTGCTGGCTTTTATGTGTTTGAATTCTTAAACGAAATGACTTTCCAGTGTGTCACTTTACTGCGGGTGGAAATTCCTTTCATCCACAATACTTGTCAGGGAGAAAAATTATTTGTCATGTTAGTTAGTTGATGTGAAACTGCGATTGAATACCTTTAACTTGGTCGGTCTGCCTTTACCCGTACTTGAAAAAGTTGACATGATCCACTTTGTTTGAATATTAGGTGGCCCGAGGTCCTGGTTAACAGTAAGATTCCTAAACCTGCACAAAAGAAGGGAGCAAAGGTAGGTTACCATTTTAACCTTGTAATGAAATCAACTTTTACAAGCACATTTCCAAATGTACCATGAAACTGAGTTGGCTCTTACAAATGAACAGTTTGGTCAGTAGGTTCAGTACACACATTTGCATGCTGACGCAACATTTGCTCATATGATGTTATTGCTTCATGGCATCGACTCAATTTCAAAGAAGACTTTTGTTTGGAGGTCAAGTGTCCAGACTCGACTGTCTCAGTAGGTGAGGCTGAGTCGACAGTGATTAATCTCCCTGTCTTTTCACAGCCTATTTGTGTGATTAACGTACTGCTATTGCGTGTGTGGTTGCACACACACGTGGGTGTGTGTGTGTCTATGATCACTGTGTTAGTCAGATGGCACTTAAGCAAATTAAGAGATCCTGTTGGGATTTAACAGTTTGCAACCGAGGTTACTGGATTGAGAAAGTCATTGAGTCCAATTTGGCGTGTGCGGCGCGCAGCATGTCTGGCATTTTCTACACAACACCACCAAGCATCACCACCAACAACAACAACCAAACAATTTCAGTTTTCTATCCTTACTTCTATTATTACAGAGTCCCATCATAAGTGTAAGTCAGTGTGGTTCTTTCTCCGTAACAGCAACACAGAAGAGGCCTCCCTTGGTCCCTTTGATGGACTGTTGTTATGGCGACGTCTCGTTTTGGGTGTCATCACATCAAAATGTGAACAGCAGCATGATGAAGAGGGCTGTTTAAATACACTCTATAGCCTGCATGGGTCAAAAGGGGCAAATTGGGTGAAATAGTCCAGCGAACGGTGGGTCCAAATGTGACCAAGCCAATGCTTGGTTATTTACACCCAATAATTCCCAATAGCTTTGTCTCTTTCCTGCATCATCAAAAGGAGGAACCAAGAAAATGTCGGAGGCCTATATCTGTCTCTTTTGTCTCTTTCAAAGGAAGCCTCATCATTAACAGCACCCGTATTTAGTCGAGGTAAACAGGCTGGCAGCAGTGCACCGAAAGCCACTTTAAATGGTGGAGGAAGGAGCGGCGGCGGCGGCGAGAAAGACTGTAAAGCTGGTGTCACTTTGAAAAGAAGCAGCCACCAAGGTCGCGGCGGTCACTGGGCCTCCAGGCCACCGTCGACTCGTCCATCCAGACCTGCTCTGCAGCTCTGCAGCAGCCGGAGCTTTTCATCCCTCGACACTTCTTCCCTCACTACCGTTCCCTTCATGAGGAGCAGTCACTCTCTCAACAGACTTGACCGGAGAGCTACCGCAGATGGTGATGTGCAGCAAATACACTTTAGTATTGGTAACGTGCGGTAGGCATTCCAAAAGAACTGACAGGTGGTATTTCCAAAACAGACTCTGATGCGGAAGCAAATTCTCCAGTAAGGAAGGAAACAAGGTCTGGAAATAAAATCCTCATTGGTGGAAAGTTGTCCTCTCAAGAGCCAGTCAGGTTCGTTGTTTTCGTATGTGGTCAATCGCTCGTAATGCAAAGTGATGTGCATTGCCTTGGTGAATTGAATTCATGTTTTTCATCATGGAAGGACTCATAAGGAGCTCTGCCATGAAGACAATGAGGAAAAGAAGCAAATGAGCAGCTCATGTGAGACGCTGAAATCATCTTTTGAGCTTTCTAGCACCAACTGTCCTCAACAAGACGACAGCGTCGAACAAGAGGTAAGCTTCACTTAAACACTTCAAGATGCAGTTAAAAACTTACACCTTGTCTGACACAAGCATGTTCGAGAGTACAGAATTCACCCGTTGTCGGAATTGTTGAAACTTGTCTGAGTTGTTCCCGATATATAAATGGTGCCAACGTCTCTTCTCATGAACGAAGATTTGTGGATGTTTTTCTATCTTTGTACAGAGCAAAGGCAGGGATCACTCACTGTTCACAACAAGGATAAGACGCAATTTGATCCAAACTGTGATGAAAAATGTGAGCTCCGCACCTGTTGCTGCAAGGTAAACGATTTACACTCGCATGACTTTACCTCTTGTTTTCCATCCCAAAACGATAAAGAAAATATTTTCCTCACAGCACCCAACTGCAACTAAATAATAAGGACGATCCTGAATCGGGCCACCAAAACAACCGCTTGCAAGAGGACGCATGCCGTGAAGGTGCCGAGGACCCGGAGAAACCAAAAGAAGAAGAAAGCCAACGGCAGCAAAAGATGGCTGAAACATCCGCCGCTATAAGCTCTGCATCGTCTCCCAGCCCGTCGCCCACCTCCTCACCCCGCACCGATTCGCCGTCTCATTTCAGTCCGACACGGCAGGCGGGAGAAGGTACCGAAACACCGAACATCAACGATCTGTTGGTTTTTCTGATCACCTCTTCCCAAGGAGGTTTTTGTCTGGCTTGCTTTGCGTTTAGTTGCAAATTCCTGCATCCATCTTCAAATGTTATGATGGCGTGGTAATTCCTCTAATGATTATCTCGCTGAAATTAGGTGAGCAAGCGTCGTCATAAAACGTTTCGGATTTCATGACTTTCCATGCAGTGGCCTCTCCATATTCACCGTCACGTGCGATGCTGTCAAAAGAAGACGGTTCTGATCAAGAGTGTCGTCCTTCTGAGTCCGAAAGAGGGCAACTTGTCCAAGAGGTGAGGCGGACTGAAGCCAATTTATCAAAAAAAAAAAATAATAATTGTACGTGCTCATTGATTTGGGCGCTTGTTTGCGTCTACAGCTGGGCCAGACACAGAAGGAACTGTCTCGGCTTCAGCAACTCAACAGAAAACTGCAACATGAACTCCAGCAAGAAAGGGAGAGTCATTTAAGAGAAAAGGTTATTCAAGTTCATGGATGGGATATACAGTTTTTGTTACATTTTGTCTTGAGCAGAACTGCATACAATTGTCATTTCTTTTTTTTTTACATTGCAGAATGATCTTCTATTCAATTCCAACTTGCCATCGGAGCCAGCTTCGACGCTGCGCCGACTACACGAGACGAACCATCAACTCCGTGTCGAGTTGGAGGCACAAAAGAGAATGCAGGAGGAAGCCAGGGAAGCCGAACTACGTCAGAGAGTCGACCTCTTAGCTCAACAAGCCCAGCTGCTTGTGACAGGGGACGCGACCGCGCTCGCTCAGGCCCGTTTAGAGCAAGAACGCAGATGGTTCCACGAGCAGCAGATGGAGTGGCGACGTTCCGTCACCTCTTTGAAGACCCAGCTGAGCTTCAGCGAAGAAAAGAGGAAAGAGTCGGAGCTGCGCACGACACGGCTACAGGAGGAGTCGTACGGTCACCGGGCCGTCCGGGAGGAGGCCGAGGAGCTGAGGAAGGCTCTCCGAGAGGCCGCGACGCAACTCCGCACCACTGAAGAGGCACAAGCTCAAAAAGAGTCTCTCCTGCAGAAGCATCTCACGCTCCTTCAAGCGAGCCAGGGCCGAGAACGTCAACGTTTGTCAGCCAGTTTGGCCAGCGCGGAGCAACACTCGCGAGAACTTCAGGAGAGACTGGATGGAGCCGAGCGGCGAGTCGACAGCCTGAATAAAGCGCAAATGTGGTGCAGGGACCTTGAAGACACCCGACAACAACTCCAAGAGGAGTTAGCTTCCTCACGGGCCGCTGAGCAAAAGTATCGAGACGAAAAAGAGCAGACGGAGCAACAATGTCAAGAGCTGCGGGATCACGTGGCGGAGGCACAGGGGGAAATAAGTCGGCTGCAGGGTTGTTTGAAAACCCTCGAGACGCACTACCGGGACCTTCAACATTCATATGAGAGTATCTCAGAGGAACTGCTGGCGGTTTTGGAGAAGGCGCAGCAGAGGGAGGCCGAGGCTGAGGAAATGCGAGATGGCTTTGAGAGGCTCCTCGACACCAAGGAGCGAGAGCTGAACGAGGTGTTGCTCAAGATGGAAGTCTTAGGTAATAGCCTGGAGGAGAAGGAGGCGCAATTCAACGAAATGCTCAAGGTTTGCACCTGTGCCTCTTCTCACGTGGAGGATGAGTCTTTGGAGGCGGAGCCGCACACGGAAGTGATGGCGGAGGAGCCCCATTTAAAAGACGACGGCGGGTCAGAGGAAAGAGGCACGTTCTCTGTTCAGAACAGCCCTCGTCACGCAAGAGTCCGCTCCCACTCGCTCGGCCCATCGCATCAGTACATCATCGCTTCAGGAGATGACCCGCAGCGCTTTACAACAGCGATCCAGCTACTTGAAACAAAACTCTTTGTCACAGAGGAGAAGCTAAGGGAAATCACCGAACGGCTGGAGGAACACCGGGATCACAAAACCTGCCCGCACCCCCATCTTGACTCCCGGCTCGCTCCAAGCCGAGGCTCAGCCCGGCATCTCGCTCTGCTGCTTCACAGCCGGGCCGAGCAGAGCCAGCGCTTTGCTCAGGAGACGGAAAACCTTTGCGGGCTTTTGGCCGGTCGCTTTCAGTTTGCGCTAAACGTCATACGAAACTGCCGGGAGAGAATTCAAACAAGCGCCGGCATCGAATTGACGGATTTCGTGGACAGACTGTCGGCTGTCGAGACGTGTCTTCGGCAAGGACAGAACGATGCAGAAAAACAACAACGTGCGTCGTTTCGTGCCTCCAAAGTGGAGGACGAAAGCCCCGATGATGTTTTGGCTGGAACTGACCGTAGCATTGATGCAGAGGTTGAACTCGCTGGCACGGCACGTTCAGAGGACATCATGACTGTTGGGGTGTGTTTGATGAGAGAATTAGTTATCGTTGAAAAAATACTGGCAGCCCTTAAGAAACCAAATGAGCAATTCCAATTTCTAGTGGCAAGAGAAGATGGGATGACTCTTGCACACAGGTACCAAGTCATCACCTCGCAAATATTAAGCTTAAAAAAGACTCCGTTAGAGGAAGGGGGCGCCGGAGAGGACCACCAAATCATCATGAGAGCCTGCACCGAAGCAGAGTTAATCTATGCCGCCTTTAAAATCCAGCAACAATATCCGAAAGGTCCCGCAGACTCCAGTCACCCGACGTTTGTTTCGTATGAAGAGCGGGAGACGGGAAAGGACGCGGTATTCGAGAAAACGGCAACATCGCTTCAACCTGAGGACATCCGGGATGAGAAAAGGCCGCCGTGGTTCGAGCGACTTCTCGCGAGGCTGCAAAGAAGAGCGAAAGTCATGTGGCTGCTGAGTCAGGAGGTCACGTGTATGGAGGAAAACTGGGAACCCGCTTCTGGAGTGGACACCGGGTGGATGCTGGAGCAAGCAAAGTTGGTTTATTTGTCCGACAGGCTGTACTTAGATTTGGAGCAGGAGCAGCGGCGCTGCGTCATGTTGCAGGACAACCTGCAGGCTTTGCGCAAACAGCGGGACGCCTCATTAACGGATGAGCGGCGGGCTTTTCAACACACCTTATGCGAACTGCGGGAGGACAACAGAGCACTGCGAGAGGAACTGGAGCACGCCGAGGAACAGATCATATCCATGGAGACCGGAAACCAGAGACTTCAGGAAAACAAGCAGAGAATTGAGGACTACCACAAGGAAAGGCTGCAAAAACTACAAGCAGAGTTTCAAATGAAGATGAAGGAACGGCAGAAAATCCATCGAGCGGCGATGAAACGTTTGAATCAACCCGGCATGAAAGACTCGGTTTCCAAAGAAGAACACGCTGCAAACTTGAAAGATAATGGCGATGCATCCCCAACAGAGCAGCAAGAAGTCGGCCCGAATGACGTGAACACTCATCAGGTAAAAATAAAATGCAGCTGAAACATGCTGAACAAGTCTTTGCAGCGGGTTAATACTGATGAGAAAAAAGTGAGGAAAAAAAAAAAAGGACACATTTGTAAACTGCGGCATCCAAGCCCTTCCGAATATTTTGACTCCCTCATTTAATATGCTGCAGTTTCTCCGTATGTCGGAAAGGTTTCGGGACGAGCATCACAAAATCTCAACGACAGTATCTTGATGTTCGCTTATCGGATATCGTGAGCAGGGGCGCTGTCCTCCTAAAGTCTCACCTCTTCTCGCGCACGGAATGAGACAAATGGCTCGGGGGGATGTCTTTGCAGACATGCTGCTTTCTCTCACAGGCGTCCTGAAACCTTTCTGACAAACTTCATATTCCTATTTTATTCGTTTCCAGTAACTGCGTACTCTTCGTGCCACACGTTTGTCCACATGACATCCCCTTCACTTTAGGTCTTTTGTGGCGGGCCTTTGGAGGAAATGCACAGGAAGTCGATAGCGGAGCTGCAGCGGCAGCATGACAAACAGGTGGAGGAACTTCTACAGGAAAAGGAGCGGCTGATGCAGGAAGAGACAGCTGCCACGTTAGCATGTAAACAATCCATGACTTTTGAATTGGATCTATCCATCGATCTATATCTATCTATCGATCGATCTTCCAGCCATTACTGCAATGAGGAGAGCCCATAAAGATGACCTGGAGAACGTTCGAGAGCCACAGCACGTCTTGGAGAATGATGACATCACACAGATCCACAGTGACTATCAGTAAGTGGCTGTGAGAGACAACATCTGGGAAATGGTTCTGTTCTCTCTCGCTCTCTCTCTTTTGTTTATCTGCAGAAAGGCGATGGAATCACTGAGTAAGGAGCTGGAGGAGTTGTCGTTTCAACACACTCAAAAATGCCTCGAGAACTCGAAACTGAGAGCCGAGCTGCAGTTTGAGAGAAAATCCATCTGGAAGCAGAGAGAAAGTCCAGAGAGGAAACCGGAGCAGGTCTGTACTAGCAAATGTGGGATTTGCGTTTTTCGTAGTCCAGTGGAGGGGAGAAATGTTTTTTTTAAGATATGAGCCATCATTCGGAAATTTTTTTTTTGCTTTGTGACAGGATAAAATGCACACCCTCAGCCAGAGCAAGATGAAGGACTTTTCTAAAAACAACCACAATGAACCCCATCAGGATGTCACGGCCCAAAGTCAAGATGTCAGGTTTGCTACTCTGCCTTCTGGTAAAGTTGCACCTGGAGAGAAAAATGGTAAGAGAATGCTAACTTGTACGGCTAACCCCTCATTAACGATTAATCATGCAATGAAGTGGTCCATTCGAATATAATTTTCAGATGTCAACGCAGTGAATTCAAGCCATGCTGCATTGGTGAAGAAAAGTGACAAACCGTCTCTCCTACGTCGGCTTAGAGCACTCAGGTCAAAGGTAAATTCGGATGACGCGCTACGTGGCATAGCTACAATAAAATTAGCCAGTAAGAAAAAGAAACACGTTACAATATTGAAATCCCGCCCCCATTACTCTTTTTTTTTTTTCCCTTCATTCACTGACTGATTCAAAATATATATTTTGATTGCCTTGCAGAGTTTGAAAGAAGGTATCTCTGGCCCAGAAAGGATGAAGCTGCTTGATTCAACAGAAAAATAAAACTGCGCTGAACATATTTTGCCACTAGATGTGGCAAATTGGGTTGCCTCACCGGAGGCCAACTTGCAATACAGAACTGATACCACAGCAGGTCACTATCAGCCCGACATAAATCTGATGTATGACAAATAGCCTCAGGTAACCCTCACTTGCACTGTACACACACGTCTATCGAAATTCTGCCTTCACAAAGACGATTTGATTGTTTGGAGCTGCGGCTGGAATGTGGCAACGGCAGCTGTGATGATTTGGGATCCGCTTTACAATCATTCACAAGTGCAGAGCTCTCGTAAATTTGGATGTTGTGAATCGCGGTGCCCTTGCAGAGGTCTTGCTCTTGAATGTTGCTCACTTCCTCGGAGTCACATTACTCAAGAGGAACATCGCACCTCATTAAACCCCGCGCTCCTTTCCTGTGACCCCAACGTGAGGAGCTCTCGTCATGTGAGGCAAACATTTTCAAAAGAGCAACACTCGTCGCTAATGCCACCTATCGTCGGCAAGGCTGCGCCGGTGGTCTTTTCGAGCTTCAAGTAACATTCACACCAACCATGTCTTTCTTTTTTTTTTTTAACGCATTTTATACAGTTACACAATTTGTCTAGAACTGAAAATAGTTAGGTGCAAGGCGATATATTTGATCAAAAATAACAACAACTACAACGTGCTGGCTATCTTGGGAACGTGACCTCATCAGACATGGAGGAGGACGCTGAAATGTTCAATAAAGAGCAGGAGGAGGCATCGCAACCTACACAAGATGAGGAAGATGAACTTGCTTTTGTGTTTTCATTTAGTTGCAACATCTCCAATAGGAGAGGAAAACGTCAAATTCCTAAATATCAGTTAGTTCATAAGCTTCGCTAAAAAGTCTTACTTTTTTTTTCCACACATGCCCATCTCTGAACACTTTACTTTGCGGTCTTTTGTTTACTTGGAATGTGGGAGGAAACCGGAGTAACCCGGAGAAAATCCACGGAGGCACGGGCAGAACGTGCAAACTCAACACAGGAAGGCCGGAGCCAGAATCGAACCCTGCACCTCTGCACTGTGAGGCCGGCGTGCGAACCAGTCGTTCACCGTGCCGCCTTATTTGCATATGTACTTTTGAGTTTTATTGTGGTTGAAATTCGCAGTGGCATAGACCTGCACTGCATCATACTGAAAACATTTTTTTTTTAATATCTAGATTCTGTCATGTATCTAAATTAGATAAATGATGCAGTGCAGCAGCCACAAAGTTCAGTTTTCTGGTCATGGAATAATCATCCTCAACCTTGCTTATTTTATTTCTTTTGACATTTACACTTTGATGGAAACCTAAGTGATGCCTATTCCTATTGGCAAAAGGAGAACCCAACGCAAAGCTGTTTTACTGCATTCCCAGCGCGTGTGCGTGACATCACGCTGTGCGCACGGTCCCGTGGGATTCCTTCTGAGCTGAGCTGGCCCACAAAAGCTCCCCCAGCCTCATGACTGATCATTGGCCGATGCAAAACCCACCAGCGCACAGGTGCACCTGCACAGGCTACAAAAATAAATGTCCTATTTAGTCATGCAAAGATCAATGACTGCAACCAGCAACAACACCGGAGCACACCCGAGTTACGTGGCCACCAAAAGGTTGAGTTTACAGACCCGTGAGGAGCATAGACAGGCGAGGACTTGACACGGGCGTGTGTCCCGCATGCATCCTCTGTGATGGAAGCAACATTTTGTCAGTGTTTCCATGACGATGGATGGAAATCCCACAATGGTCACCAGAGGCAAAAATACAATTGGCAGGATCCAACATGAGTTTACCATCGCCAACCTCAGCTTGGAGGACGATGAGGCTGATGAATATTTGTGGAAGTGTCGTCAATGAGCCAGCTCCCTCAAAAGGCAAACAATATAAAAACGAAGGGTCCCCGCCCCCCCAAGCACTCTGATAGCCAAATAAACATAAAAATATTGTCGTCTGTATTTATAGCCATCATTTGTAGACTTGAACCTCATAACCGTGAAGCAAATCCGCAAACCACGATCCTACTACAGTGCCTCGTTCAGAAATTCAACCAATTAATTCTGTTTTTGGGCTAAGCATTTAGGGTCCTTTTCCTGTTGGAGGCCAAGTGTTCTGACAGGTTGGACTCGAGACTACCTTGACAGTCTTGAGATTTCAACTTAACTGTGCCAGGTGTAGCAAAGCAGCCCCAGAAGAGAGCCGAGGGTCTTCGTTTAAGAAACACGCTGAAACAATGTAGCCAATGCGGGCTTAAATCGTCATCTTAATTTGTCACTGTCCAAAAATTCACATGAAGTGCCTAGAGAGTGCATAAAATAGAACAATAGCCAAAAAAAAAAAAAAAAAGAAGTACGGAGACACCCGGCAACAAAATATGACCAGCATGAGATCTGCTCAGATGGGCCTTAACAGATGGTTCTAGTCTTATGTAATCGTTGTATACCTGCCATATGAACCCGACCACAAACAATGCTACTCACCACTAAAACATAAAACCAAATCCCCTCACACAGGTTCAAATTACAACATGGCCTAACACTGCGGATGTCGCAGGGCTGCGCATGCTGTTGACTTGAAAGGTGATCAGAATGTGATCAAATGTAGCCCAAATCCCAAGCGGGGTCCAGGCTGGCCCACTTTGCAGACTTTAAATAACTTGCAGGGTGCGTTCCGCTGGCTGTTACCCCCGCATCGGATCTGCCATATATTCAGCGGATTCGTAACCTATTTACATTGGAGAGCATCACTTACACAAGCCTACTTTAATTTTAGATCACCCGTACGAAGCAGGACTATTGTTTGGGACAGATTCCGATCTTAAAATTGACACTCACAGTTGTCTGGAATTTGGCAGATGTTGCATTGCACCCGCAAGCACACATACATACAATGGTGTATGACCGCCTCCCTCCGCTGAATGTGGGTCAGGCCAGCGGTGGATCTTCTGCTCCTTAAACTAGCGTGTGAAATTTACCAAGTACTGAGGAAATTTCCAAATCTGATCACTTTTTGCTTCCTCACAAACAGGGAGAATTAAGATCTCAACTCAAGAATGAGTGAATGTATTTAGAAAAAAAGTCTCTGCTTCACTTCAGAGGGTCATTAATATAGTTGTCCAATTCAACAAAATCAACAAACTTAACCTACTTGACCCCAATCAAATCTAGTGGAATAATTTCTGAGGTCTTCGGCGCACATTCATCTTGTCTAAGCTATTAAGTATTTTTGACCGGTGCCGCACTTGGTAAAGCAAGACTGCGCTGTCTCCAAATGCCAAGTATGTACTATGACACAGTGGAAGGGAGGGAAGGGAGGGCTGAGCGGTGCGCATTAGTTCTGTAGATGTGGGATACGGAGCAGGATCTTCAGCAAAACCGGCAGACGTAAGCAGAGATACTCACAAAGTGTTGCAGACGTGTGGAAGAAGATGACAGATGAGGAGGGTTGCAAGCAGTAACTCGCTCGCGGACTTTTGGTTGGAATGCTGTCCTCGGTGACCAGAGCAAGAGGAACAGGTGCATTCAAACTTGTGGAGATGAATGTGTGGTGCGGCGATGCACTTTTTTGCCTCACGAGGATAGAGTGGTTCTACCCATAAAAAGAAGAACCAACGAGGAAGCCCCCCCGACACCCCCCCGGGGAAATATGCAGTAGTTTGGTTAAAAGACGGAAAGTTCTGGAAGTGAAAAAAGACAGCAGGAAGATCAACATTTAATCAGCAAACACGGTAAGTAGCCTCCACATTTTGAATTCATATATTCATGACGGCGCAGGATTAAATGATTTTCTGCTCCGGCATTAAGATCACAGCAGCAGCAGGCGGACGGTTATTATAGCATATATTAGATAATAGTGCGCCTCGGGCACTCATCCTCATCATCCTGACGCCTAGCAACTAGAGCGGTGTGAGGATGCCAGTGTGAAGTCACTCAAATAGACACACATTTCGTACACGAACACAACTTGGTAATGCGTTTCAACGAACTTTACTGCGCCAACGTGCAAACGTATTATTGTCCTGCATTTGCTTGTCACACCATCCCTTTTCTTGTTCGGGGTCACGGGAAGCTGGACCCTATTGGAGCTGGCTGTGTGTGAGAGGTGTGAGGTACAACTAAGATTGGACAAACAACTCTTCACAATTTGTCTGCGGTAAACCTGACATGCAAGTCCTTGGAATGCGGGAGAAAATCTTGGGGAGATCGTGCGAATCTCAAACCTCAGCATTGCGAGGCGAAATGCGCTCATTGCCAGAACATCACGCCGCCTACTTGTGGTTCCTGGGAACAAAATCAATCCGTACCCAACCAGGAAACCTTTTTAGATTTCACTCGAAGGACAACATGGTTGTGAGCACCTGGCGCACAGTCTCTGTCCTCGGAACATTGAAATGATGGAACCCAAACTTCACCAAAAATACGATAAAATGGGCAACCAATACCTAATTAACGACTTAACTGCTTAAGGGCTATGATCAAAGACGAAGATAATACAGTACACTGGTATGATTCACTTGGAATCAAAGGGTGTAGTCCAACCCCTGACTGATGAGCCGGCCATCCGCATACTGCGGCATCAATGTCCATACCGTTCATTTTAGACTTGAACAAAGTGCCAGGAAATAACCAAATGATAGCCAAAGCAATGTGCTTGCAGCGAACTGCCAAGCGGCGGGTCATTTTGCACTGACCCAGTTAGAGTCATGTCCCCCGCTGGGTCCCTGCAGCTTGACGGGGTCAAGTTTTGGTGACGTCAAATGAATGCAATTTCCCTGGAAGGCCAAGACAGGTAGCCTGTGACTTAATCTTATAACGCCAGTTTAGTCTACATTAACATAAATGACTTTTGTGTCCTAAACTTTCAATTTCATGCTTCCCTGACTTTTAATTTTGCGACTGCCCAATTATGACCAAACAGCAGAGAAGTAATAACATTAGCCTAAATCCTTTATCAGGAAGCGGCGGGGCAGAACTGTCTGATTGACGCAAGCCAATCAGCGCAAAAAAAAAAAAGAACAACTGACAATGAATGATATCAACTCAAGTGTATTTATAGAGCACTTTAAAACAGCCACCGGTGTATATAAAGTGCTATATATGGAGCAAAAAGAACCCATACAACAACAAACAATGAGGCAATAAATTAATAATGAAGATGCCTCTGAGACTCCTTTTAGTTCTTGGTACCTCTAATTGTGTCTGGTCTGCAGACCCGAGGCACTGGGCAGGTGCGTAAGGGCGGAGGAGCTCAGAGAGGTAAGGTGGGGCGAATCCATTTCAAGATTTGAAAACAAATAATAGGATCCTAAAAAGAACTCTCAAATGTATTGAGAGCCAGTGAAGGGGTGCCAGAATAGAAGTTATGTGCTCCCTCTTACGAGTATCAGTCAAGGGCTGAGCAGCAGCATTCTGGACCAACTGGAGATGCTTAATGGAGGATTGGCTGACTCCAAAGTAAAGTGCATTACAGCCATCCAACCGAGATGTGACGAAGGAACGAATTATTGTTTCAAAGTGCTCTTGAGGAAGAGCGGTGTTAGTAATCGAATGAAATGTATCACAATACGGCTATTGAAAAGAACAAAGTGTACACTTGAATATTCACTTACAAGTCTCTGGCAATTTCTTCTTCTCTCAAAATACTTGCATGAAGTTTGCGTTTGAAGTTTTGGTGTGCTCTCTTTTTTTCCCAAGCCACAGTGTCTTCCAGCACACCCTCACATGGGAATCACACGGCATCATCAGTGGCTCCGGTCCAATACTTAGGCCAGCTGTGAGAAACAGACGATACGTCACATAAAGTGGCAGCGCATTCGATTAGATGGCTATTTCTGTACCTTGTTCAACAGAAAACCATATTTTGTATCACCGAAGTGAAGGTAACTTTATTTTCCATGTGTATCACACTTTCCCATCTCGACTGGTACTCCGGTATGCATCCATCTTCTGAAGGATTGATCGATTGCTACAAACACAAATACTGTTACTGAGGGAGCCGCTCGGGAACCTAGATTGTGAAATCATCGTCGACCATCATATGCATACAGAATAGAGCTGAAGATATTTGAGGGAAGGAACCATATTTGGTACATCATGTGTTGTGTGCTCAAAAATTTAAATTGTGACCAAGTGTGAGTACGAGCGCAGACGGTTTTTCGTCTCTGTGTGTCCTGCGATTGGCTGGCAAACGGTGTCCCTGCCTACTGCCCGAAGACGGCTGGGATGGGCTCTGGCACACCCGCGACCCTTGTGAGGATTAGCGGATTTAGAAAATGAGCTTGAAACGCTGAAAAAAAACAAAAAAAAACTCATGGCCATGGGATTTGGGGGTGCACGTGATCTTTATATTTAATTGCGATTTGGATTATGAGACAGTCTTCAAATAAATTCTTCCTCGAAAGTGGTACCTGGGTCTCAAAATCAGAATTACAACCATTCCTCTTTATTGACCAAGAATAGGAGGAATCCGGAATTGGAATCACTTTAGTACTATCGTTAAAAAAAAGACGCAATGACAAATACACATTTAGGTCGGATAGATGCAATATGAAGTGTGCGATAGTGGAATTAAAAGGCTGTAGAAAATATACAAGGCTTGATATGCGGCGTGATAACCGTCTCGGTTTGCAATGTTGATTTTCGACTTTTCCCCATTAAGGGTTAACATTTTTCTTTCCAGAGAGCCTTCAGTCTGCGTTGGACGGAGCTCAGCCTGTCGTGTATGTGTCAGCCTGATCGCGTGAAGCCACGTTGCTGAGGCATGAACGTGGGAAGGGCCCACCAGCACAGTTTCTTATCGTGTGAAGAGGAAGGCCTGAGACTGACCGGCATGCCTGCCGTGGGGAGCTTCGGCAATGGCAAGATCCACACCAGACGCCAACGCTACGGCCGCTTCGTCAGCAAGACGGGCCAGTGCAACATTCACTTCTCAAACATGGACGACAAGTCGAGTCGTTACATCTCGGACATGTTCACCACTTGCGTGGACATACGCTGGCGCTACATGTTCCTGATCTTCAGCCTGGTGTTTGTGGTGTCCTGGCTGATGTTCGGCCTCGCCTTCTGGGTCATCGGCCTCCTGCACGGCGACATGGAGCTTCCCGCCGAGGATGAAAGTTTCATTCCGTGCGTCACCAAGGTGAACACCTTCGTGGCCGCTTTTCTGTTCTCCATCGAGACGCAGACCACCATCGGGTACGGAGCCCGCTGCGTGACAGAGGAATGTCCCGCCGCCGTCTTCATGGTGGTCTTTCAGTCGATCGTGGGCTGCGTCATCGACGCCTTCATGATTGGTGCCATTATGGCGAAGATGGCGAGGCCTAAAAAGCGAGCAGAGACTCTCCTGTTCAGCCGCAACGCCGTCATCGCCATGCGCGACGGAAAGTTGTGCCTCATGTTTCGGGTGGCCAATCTGAGAAAAAGCCATATCGTGGAAGCTCACGTCCGAGCCCAGATGGTCAAGCCTCGTTACACGGAGGAAGGCGAGTACATCCCCCTGGATCAGATCGACATGAACGTCGGCTACGACAGAGGCACCGACCGCCTCTTTCTGGTCGCGCCCATCACCGTCATCCACGAGATCGATGAAGAAAGTCCTCTGTTCGGCATCAGCAAACAGGATCTGGAGACGGCGGACTTTGAGATTGTCATCATACTGGAAGGTTTGGTGGAAGCCACCGCCATGACGACGCAGGCGCGCAGTTCCTACCTGTCGTCAGAGATCCTTTGGGGTCACCGATTTGAGCCGCTCATCTTTGAGGAGAAGAGCCAGTACAGAATCGATTACGCCTTCTTTCACAAGACCTTCGAGGTACCGTCCACCCCGAGGTGCAGCGCCAGGGACATGGAGGACAGGAAGTTCCCAAGGTCAGGCGCTAACTCCTTTTGCTATGAGAATGAGCTGGCTTTCATCGGCAGGGACGAGGAGGATGAGGAGGAGGCGGACTTTGACAAAGACGAAGACAGACAGTGTTCCACGGCGCTCCTGGATGAGCAAAGCACATCTGAACGTGATCAGAAATCATCCAGTGTAGAATCGGAGATTTGAACTTGACATTTACAGAAATTCAGTGTATCACTTTGAAGAGAAAAATGACTCTAAAGACACTACAAAAATTATTTAGAGGATCGTTGCGTGCATGACTGAAAATTGGTAAAAAAAAAAAAAAAGAAAGAAGGGGAGGGGTTGCAAAAATTGGAGAATTTCCAAAATGGAAAACTTATTTAATGGGAATTTATGTGAATACTAGGGGAAAAGAAAATAAGGAATTTACAAAACTGTAGGTTGGAACTGAACATGAAACATAACACGATGCAACCATGGCAGATGCATGACAAGGCAGTGTTTCAAAAATCGATTGAACCATTTATGTTTTTCCAATTGTTTGTGCATAGTAACAGAGGAAATAATCTATTGTCTAATCAATACTGTCAATACATTGTAGCAGATGGCAGTGCGGCTACGGGAGAAGCAAATAAATGTTTACGCCCCATTCCTCTGAAGGCCAATCATTATGTTGCTCCCGTTCATGTGAACCGTGGTTGGAGCATCGAATAGAGTAGCAGTGTGTTCTGCATGATTCCGTCATTGGCGGCAACCCTGAACCAAAAGAGCGACGGTGTAAAAGAGTGTGGCAAGAGTGCATGGGGCTTTTTTTTCCTGCTGTTTTATTCGTGACAACTGCATACTTTCTGTAGCTCACCTCTAGACATCGGAGGCACGTGGTGCGGCTTAATCCATATTGGGGGAACAGTGGACTCACTTGAATGACAAACGCCGGTGCTCCTTGCGGCTTTAAGGTAACCGTAGTATAGAAAGGAGACTAAGAAGCGCAAACAGCGACGACTCGGCGAGCAAAGGCCATAACGAAGCACGGTGGCAATTACAGTGAAGCATTAGCAACTGGAGGGGAAAAAAATGGAAACATACAAAGTGCTTTGTGAGCCCAGTGACGATTGGGATTCAATCAACGTGTAAGTTGAGCGGTTCGTAGTTTTCAGTGGATAGCTGAATAGCTCTACTTTACGAACGGCAAAAGGAGAGATGGAATCCTTTGAATGCCGTTAGACGTCTGCACCTCAGCACGTTCGAGAGCACAACACCTTTTATCGATAATAAAACACTTCCTGTTTCCTTCAGCCAACCTTCTTCCGCTAATAAAACACTTCCTGTTTCCTTCAGCCAATCAGACGCTCTCAACATAAACATCTTTAAGAAAATATCAAAGAGAATATAATTTAGGTAACTTTAACATCACAGACAATACTGTAATGGTCAAACATAAAATGATAATAATTAACAATTTAACAAAAGCTTACAAATGTATCGCTTTGCGAAATAATGGAAACACCCGTCAAATAGTCATGCCCTGTAATAGGGGTGAAAGCATTAATTATTAATAATAATTATATAAGCATTAATTCTTAATAATAATTAATTAATTCTTAATAATAATTAATGAATGGACCAATGGATCATTGAATTATTTCGACGGTGCGGTCATGATTGTTGATTAAACACAACTCGAAGCAAGACGCAGATCTCGATGTGAGGCACGACAGTTGTGGGCAGCATCGTTCTGCTCAAAACATTCAGCCAGGTCCCAAAATAACACATACAAAAATAATAATCAATTGAAGGTTTGAGCGGTGTGTTGATGAAGTGCATTTACCCGAGCACAAACGCCCATTCCTATTTAGTTTACGATACAAATCATGTAGAGATGTAAACAAACGACATCAGATCAACGTTTTGTGCTATTTGCTGAAATTCTATGAATTGAACGGAGATCTGAAAAGAATAGACATGTTAAAAAGCCTTCCAGTGTGTAAATATGAGAGAATATGTAACGACAGAACCAAAATAGCCCACCAATAAATCATCCAAAGTCATTTCTCTCTTTCTTCAATCTGAGTTGTTGTGGTCTTGTGTGCACCCGAATGCCATTTCGGCACAGTTGCACACGTTTGCATTTGGAACTTGCTGACGTGCGCTGAAAATAGCAAAGGTTTGCTCTGGGAAATAAATTATTTGGCCATTTTTACTAAAAAAAAAAAAAAAAAAAAGCAAGATGCGAAGACGAGAATGTGAACTCAATTCGTCAGCTCTGTACTGAAAATAAACATGCTTTTTTTTTTTTTTTGTCATTGCAGTTTGTTGTTGGTCATTAGCTCTATTATGCCAGTGATTACAACAATGGCGTCCTTGAGGAATTAGACTGAAAGAATATGTAAACTCATTCGTTGCCAATGACGGCTAGAGAAGTCCAAAGATGCACTGTTTGACCAGGGACTGCCGGTGAAAGAGTCTTGCCATGCAACTAAGTTGAAGCCATGTTTGAGGCCCTTGACTAAAATAAGTCTATGGCAAGCTCAGCCATTGGTTTTGTTCCCCTCCACCCCCCTTACATAGGACACAGACAAACAGAGAGGGCGGGATGGAGGCATGAGAATTTTTGGGTAACAGCATCTGATTGGGGTCAAAGGTTTCCTCTTTCACACTTATGCAACCCCTTCGGAAACATCTTTGCTATGGACGCACTCCACCCGAAGAGCAGCGCCAGTTGACTGACCTGTGACCTTCATATCTGCCCTGCATGTAATTGCAAATCACTCACTACTGTAATATAACGAGCGGTGAGGACCTAAATTCCTATTTTAAACGTTACATTTTCACAAACGTTAATAGGATAGAGGTCTCTGCCCCCCCCCATGTCGTGGTGAGAAGAATATAATTCATTGGCAACCCTTGCTATCAAACTTGTGTTTTGTGTGCATCAACTCGAATTTAGAAGACAATATGTATTTCAAGACACGAGGGCCCCCTGACATCACTCTCAGGTTTAAGTTCTCTAACTTAAAAAAATCTCTCACTTTCATGCTTTCTCCTCCAATAATGAACAAAATCATTCCATCCATACTTAAGATTCGCATCGCTGAATCTGCAAATCCTCCCATGAGAATGTTGGCTGTACGGTCTGAGATGTGCAGCGTGATGTAAGCATCATGTCGAGCACATCACGGGATGCATCCCACCCACTCCGCAGAGTTGGAGGAAGAAAACCCGTGGAAAGTCAGGATTGCAACGTGAAGAGTGGGCCGCAGCCTTAATTATCACAAGCCTTCTTCTTCTTCTTCACTGCTTGCCCACAGGTGACAGAAGGAGGTGGAGGCTGAGAGGAGTAACATGAATCCACCGACAGTCTACTTCAAGCTCTGCTCTTAAGTAACGAGCCGTAAATATTCAGTACGACATCATCTGATGTCTGTCTAGGACCGTCCATTTATTTGCCTTTGTCTGAACTTATTCATACTTGATCATTTGTGCATTTGTGATCAAACTCATCGGCGTTTTGAGAGCATTTGGTCGAAGCGAAGACGTTACATAATAATGTTATCACCTCGCCGACGACGCGAGCACAATTCTTCTTTGTTGTGGCTGCTGGAGTACAATTTTGCACCTTCCGGTGGGTGAGAACAGACCTGCCGAAAATCTCTTACGGGTTCAACCTAACATGCAGAACGTAGAAGAAATTAAGCCGAAGTGTGTGAAGATCGTTCAAATCCACACAAAGCCCGGAGCCCGAGATTCAAACCTAAATGAGCAGAAAAGCACAAATAATGCTCGGGGCAACTTTTAGTCCCAGCACAGTGTTGATCGCTGCTTGTTCCATTTCTTTGAAACCACGACTGTCCAAACGTGACTCTGCGTGGAGCAACAGCTCCATAAAGTTCAACGTGGCATCGACTCAGCAGAAAGAATCAAGGTCACTGAAACATAAGCGTGTTTACCGTGTAGTCATATCGCTTTACCTCGCCGTTCTGCAACATACTGACATGCAGCTGAGCACGTCACTCACGCAAATCTGTCTGTGCCGTCCGGTCCACGCATACAGTATGCGATCACGGCAACAAGCTGATTGGATTACAGGATGAGGCCCTGACTCGAATACCGCCAGTAAACGCAGTTGACCAAGCTTCCTGTGTGGAGTGCAAGAGTACATCAGAGGTGACAACAAGAAATCCGAAAATTACTCTGGTAAAAGCAGAAGTACTGATTCAACAAATATAAATACTCAAGCACCGCTCCCTGACAAATCAACTGAGGACCCACTCGAGCTCACCTGCACCTCTTCCAACACTGTCGTTTGGTTACGAAACGGACTCAACACGTCCACGCCTAACAAGTTTGCCACCACGTGGAATCCAGTGGCAAACACAAACGTTCTTCTGTACAACACAAAAAAGTCCTAATTCTTCACACTTTTAACCCTTTCAAGCACCCTGTAACCCGATAACATGAGAAGCTGTCCACTGTAGTAATCGGTGTCCCTGAAAGGGTTAATTGTGTTGCCATTTTTCGACACATTCCAACTCCGTCACAGAACATCGTCGAAATATTGGAAAGTCAAAGTCACACATTGAGCGTTCGATATCAGTGTCATTTGTATGAATGTCTACCAAGTGGCGAAAACAATATTTGCATGACATCTAGAGGATGGCGACAACACGATTGCGTTGTGGAGATGACATTCGGGCAAGGAGGTCACGAGTCACAAGATGCTTGTCCTCAGTGGGGTCACAGGGAACTGAATGAAGCCTATCCCAGCTGATTTGGGGCAGACCTTGGACAGTCACATTCAAACTTATGGGCAATTTTGTCTTGAATTAACCAAATATGCGGGTTTTTTTAAATTTGGAAGGAAACCACCTGTTTAACTAATCTACACCAAAACAAAACGTCTGGGTGTGATTCGAGAGGCACTCAAAACTCTTTGCTGCCCTCGTGTGGTAACTCGGTGTAGTAACTTAATGTCGTTTTCCCTATTTTACATGAGCATTTGTCCATAGATGGCAGATTAAAAAATAATAATCATAAAAAACTCAAATTGGTATTAAATACATTTTATTACATAAATGACATGAAGCAGTCTGGGGATTTAACACAACCACAGTAGCTTAACTTTACAAATATTTTGGTTGAACGTGATATCGCAACATATTGGATGATGCTGTGTGTGATGTAATCTGTGTATTTGCCTTTTTTTTTTTTTTTAAAGAATCACATTATTTCATATAGACAACCACCCACCCTTAAATCTCTGCCCCCAACCCTGGTTCCCCATGAACCTTTTTATGAGACCCACTGATCTTCGTCTGTCATTGTCAGGATGTCTGTCACCAGGCCAGTGTAACTTAATGTCGTTTTCCCTATTTTACATGAGCATTTGTCCATAGATGGCAGATTAAAAAATAATAATCATAAAAAACTCAAATTGGTATTAAATACATTTTATTACATAAATGACATGAAGCAGTCTGGGGATTTAACACAACCACAGTAGCTTAACTTTACAAATATTTTGGTTGAACGTGATATCGCAACATATTGGATGATGCTGTGTGTGATGTAATCTGTGTATTTGCCTTTTTTTTTTTTTTTTAAAGAATCACATTATTTCATATAGACAACCACCCACCCTTAAATCTCTGCCCCCAACCCTGGTTCCCCATGAACCTTTTTATGAGACCCACTGATCTTCGTCTGTCATTGTCAGGATGTCTGTCACCAGGCCAGTGCCGATGGTTTTGTTGCCGTCTCGGAGAGTGAACCTCTGACCTTTCTCCAGGACCATTGGTTGTCGGAGCGTGAGGGTCAAGGAGGTGTCCTCCCCCGGCATCACCATTTCCTTGAATGAGATAAGATCAGATGGCATGTGTAGTTTAACCAGCGATATTAAAATGTCGTGTATTGTGCGTAATGACTTTTTAAAAAACTTGACATAGCATAATTGTCTTGGAACTGTTCAAAACGCCTGCCAGCAGGAAGTGGATGCCACACAAAGTACCCAATGACAGAGTGACTAGATGGCGATTGTGTAATACAGAGAATGGAAAAGACCTTCATAAAATGGACCAATTTCAACTGAGTTTCACTTTAGTGGTAAATCAGACGACATACAAGCACACACCTTATCAGAGGGCAGAGAGACTCTGCAGGCCATGTCCCACGTTAGGGAGAACATGACGGGCATGAAGTTGCTGACAAAGGACTTGTGTCGTCCTCCCTCCTCTTTGCTCAGAATGTACACCTGCAACACACAAAAGCACATGCGACTCAGTCAAGACAACAAAACCCCGACTTGGTGACGGTTCCCCCTTCTGGTGAAAAAGGAGAACGTCTTAAAAGTAGCAGCAACTGTATGTGACCGAAAAGCTCGGATGAGCAAACACTATGGACCCATTGAGATGGCTTGCGTTGGTGTACTGTGTATTCCAAACCTGAGCCTTGACTTTCTGGTGAGGCTTGATGGATCCCGGCTTGCACATCACGATCCCTCTCCTCACATCCTCCCTCTTCAGGCCTCGGACCAGAGCACCGAGGTTGTCTCCAGCTTCGGCCCGATCCAAAGACTTATGGAACATCTCGATACCTGAGCCCATCGGCATGGACAACGATTACACTCAAATGTATTGTTATAACCTTGATTTTTTCCCCCCACGCTTGTATTGGATGGAAAGTGACTGATGAGCGTTAATCTGCAGTATAAATCCAGCCTTTTTTGTCTTTCCTCAGAAAAAAATCTAAATATCTTATACGCTCGTCTCCACTGAGATGTTTAATGTCGTTCTATTTTGTTTCTGACACTCACCTGTAACCACAGATTTGACGCTGCGATTGTGACCCACAAACTCACAGTCATCCCCTTTCTTTATGATGCCCCTCTCCATGGTGCCGGTCACCACTGTCCCCCTGCCTGAATGCAGAAACAAACAGGATGTATTAAATGTGTTTCAAACAGATACCACCGCACAAAATGCAGCTTTACATGTATTTTTTTATACACACACCTGGGATTGAATAAACTCCTTCGATGGGAAGAAGGAACGGCTTTTCCAGTTCTCTTTTGGGCAACGGAACATACGAATCCACAATCTCCAGCAGCTTCATGATTGCATTGATGCCAAGCTCCGGCTCCCGACCCTGACGGGAAGCATCACAAGCATTCAGTCAAGACTCAGAATCATCCCTGCATGTGATCAAACGCTGCCTTTGGGTCACCTCCAGAGCACAGAGGGCAGAGCCTATCACCACAGGCGTGTTGTCGCCGTCGTAGCCAAATTCAGTGAGAAGCTCACGAATTTCGATCTCCACCAGCTCCAGCATCTCTTTGTCCTCCACCGCGTCCGCCTTGTTGATGAATACCACCACGTGCTCGACGCCGATCTGCCTGGCCAACAGCAGGTGCTCCCGCGTTTGCGGCATTTGGCCGTCAGTGGCCGCCACCACTAGGATGCAACCGTCCATCTGAGCAGTGCCTGTGATCATGTTCTGAAAAGGGGAGTGATATCAGGAGCTGGAGTCATGCTGGCCGATTATATTTCAGGACGAGCATCCGGGCGTGAGACAGCAGCGAGTGTGTTCATTTTGTATTTATGTTTGACCGTTTGTTGTGTTGGCGTCTGAAAGTGCATTGGTGGCTTTCTTTGCTCACAGACATTACAGTGCCTTAGGTGGTCCATTTCTTTTTTCACTTCACTCGAGTGGCACCATATCTGAAGCTAGCTCTGAACTCAAATTTTGTCTCGCAACAACAAAGAAAGACTGCTTACCTTGACATAATCAGCATGACCGGGGCAGTCTGTATGAGCGTAATGTCTGTTGGCTGTTGTATATTCAACGTGAGAGGCATTGATGGTGATTCCTCGAGCCTTCTCCTCGGGGGCGTTGTCAATGTCCTCATACTTTTTAAAATTGGCACCGCCGGCATCAGAAAGTACTGACGATTAAAAAAAACAAACAGTTGTAACCACAATACTATTTATCTTCAAACTTCGAATACATGCATCCATTCATTTTCTTTATCACTTGTCCTCATTAGGTTCACGGATGAGATGGATACTGTCCCATCTGACTTTGAGCAAAAGGCAGGCTACACCCTGGAACAGTCGTCTGTTTATCGCAGGGTGAGCAGAGAAAATTTTGATATTTGATTTCTACATTGTCTCCACAGTTATAAATAGCCATTAGCCACTAATCCTGGAAGGGGTAAGTCTTTATTTCCATGATTCCCTATCAGAAATCTTGATTCGTTTTTTTTTCTCGCCTCCCCAAAAAAAGACAGTGCTCGATCGAATACAACCTTACCCTTTGTGATAGCTGCAGTTAGGGTGGTCTTGCCATGATCCACGTGTCCAATGGTCCCGACGTTGACGTGGGGTTTGTCTCTGCTATAAGTCTTCTTAGCCTCTGCAGCGAAGGTCCGCCGACTCAGAGGTACAGCACACTATAATAGAAAGGTTGAAAGATGAATACAGATAAAGATGTATCCAATTAGCAATACTGATTCATGTATTTTTTACACTGTAAAGGATTGGTTTGTACACACTCACTAGCTTAAAGGAGCTTTGCACCAGGCTTGGTGAGGTCAGATGAAGAGCTAAAGACAACAGAACCAAAATACAAGTGTAGCGTAAGACAAAATCACATGAAATAGACAGACCAGTGGTAGGGGATGCAATTTAGTTTCATTGAAACTGTTTCAATCTGTGCATGCGCATAAATCACATCTTTAGACAACTAATCTGACCAGACCGCATCATCACATAGAAACGCTAGGCCAAGTCTGAAAAGCGCTAAACACACTGAAACTGGACGTTTATTTAAAATGCCTACAGGTCGTACCTGACCAAACTTAGAAATAAATTCCGATTTCAGTGAATAACAATTGATCACTTTTTCGTTCTATTCGGCTTTATTGTTAGCTTACAATCACCGGTAACGTGACCTTGCTCTGCTATGAGCACAGAACGCATCATCCCATTTTGTTTAAGGTTGCAATTACACTGCTACTTACTACGCTACTACTTGCATCTAAACCGAGTACTACAAAAGAATAATCTCAACACAAATATGACACCATAATATTGAAGAATTAGAACAAGGGACTATTTTACCGGAGACACAAGCACGCAGTCCTAAAAGCGCTGCCATCTTGAACAATCAGGAAATCCAAAGACGAACAGGTTGCCAAGAGCGTTAATCAAGTGTAAGGCATTTACTGGAATACTGCCTACTTTTCCTCCCTCCCAATTCCTAGTCCTAGCGTGTTCATTTAATACTCCCAAACAAAATGCATCTACTTTTAATGATTCGACAACAAAAGATAATGTGTTTATAAAATAATGTCAAACGCTGCGTAACGCTGAGGATTTTTAACGCTCTCGCTTCCACTAGTACTCTCTGAAAGGCTTCTATCCATGCGTCATCAATTTATCTTAATCTCCCTAATAGAGACTCCAACGTTTTTTGTTTAAATATTTATTAAATATAACAATTAATTAACCGTTTTGATTTCAGTGTTTTGTTTCTTTTAATATAAAAATAAATGCGAAATTTTACTCGACTATAGACAGACTGGAAAGACAGCTGTTTGTCCCAAATTCCGTTACCGGCTTTATTTTTACCATTACGGTCAAACATGGCAGCTTACTTGACACTCATGCGCTTGCTATAGCTAGAACGTTCTCGCGCTTACATGTGTCTTCTGGTTTAAAGAGGCGTCAACCTTCAGGGTCGTTAAAAAGGGTCCGTGTTTTTTCAGAATCATTTCATGAGACTTTGAAGGTAAGGTGGATGTGAACATTTTCATGTTACGTAAAATATAGCTAGGGGGTTGTTGATGGCATGTAGCTGGCATGACATTTTTGATATTCAACATTGACTAAGGTGGGCATTTGAATGAAGGATGTGTATGCACTTATACGTGATGTATTTTTCCCCTTTTCAGCGACATGACGGAAGAGAGACAAAATCGAAGATATCCCCAGAATCTTCAGGGAGTCCTGCAGTTGGCTATCGACGCTGGCTCCGGTGCAGAGGGGCCTCCGTCTGTAGAACCCATTTCAGAAGAGGTTGGTCATGTGAAAAGTTGCTTTTAGAAGCCTACACACACCCTGCAAATTGAGGCCAGGCAACAAGCTACTACCCTTTGATCTCTGTCATCCATTTTTTCTGTTTTCTGCCTTTCAGAGGAGCGCATGGCTGAGGGAGGCTCTCGCAGACGTCTGCAAAGGACAGATGGATGAAGTGGAGCAGATGAAGCAGTGCTTGGCTGTCTTGAACAAAGAGGAGGTGAACGGCGAGGGCGATAGGGATGACGAAGACGAAGATGAGCGAGAAGTAGCCTTTGAGTTGCTGTCAGATTTATGTGAAAATCTTGACAATGCCAGAGGTCAGTATTATTATTCCACGTTATATGAATTAATTGAGTGAGAGTAATATGCAATCGACAGTAACCTCATTGTGTCCCCACACCTCTTTTAGACCTGATGGTTCTGGGAGGCCTGGATGTCTGCGTCTCCAAATATTTGTGTCATGCCCAAAGTAGGTTGAGGTGGAGCGCTGCTCAGCTGATTGCTACCTGTGCCCAGAACATGCCACAGGTGCAGGATCACTTGCTAAAGCTAAAGGCTTTGCCAAAGCTTCTACATTTGACAGACTCGGATCCCCACCCCACAGTCAGAGTCAAGGCTCTTTATGCAGTCTCATGTGAGTACAGTATGTCATGGAGACTGAAATGCGCCGCGTGAAACATTTCCAATGGCCTTTTGTTGCAACTGCAGGTCTGGTTCGAGAGCAAGACGCCGGGCTGGAGGCTTTTCTGTCCCTCGATGGCTTCTCCGTACTGATGAGAGGTATGCAGTCAGAACACGATAAGCTCCAGACCAAGTCAGCGTTCCTTCTGCTCAATCTGCTGACGTCACATCCTGAACAGAAAGGTACAAAACATGATAAATGATTCCTTTTTTCATGATTTGATTGAAAATTCCAGGCGGGGGGAATATCGCATTTGTGCTTCTTGACTTCCCACCGCTTGTGATGTTTATCAGAGACCTCATTGTGTCATTCATTTTTCCTGCAGACACCGTGGTCTCCATGGGGATGGTGCAGCAGCTGGTTTCTGTGCTGCGCGCTCCGCACTCACCTTTTCATGAGCATGTCCTCGGTGCCCTTTGTTGGTAAGGCAATTTATCAGTCTTCTTCTTCATATACAGGCAATCCCAAAATTATTCAAACCCCGAGGGTATGAATAATTTGGGGCTTGGCTGTAGCAGCCGATGATCGGTGGTATAAACCAAAGGATCGCTGCATTGTCTGTCCTCTGTCTTGTGTCTGTCCAGCCTGGTGGAAGACTGTGTGAAGGGGCTCGGAGAGTGTCGGGATCCACCTCTCGGTCTCGAAGAGTTACTGCGGCTGCGAGCCAGAGAGCTCCAAGGCAAAGAGGAAAGTCAGGTATGTCACCGAAGGGTTTCAAATTTTAACCAGAACGGTATTCAGTAGAGCACAGCGATTTCCATTTCACCTCATTGTGTATCAGCTTGACATTTGTCCTCAATGGTCCATTTAATTTTTCAGCAAGGCACAACATGAAGAACATAGCTGGTAAAACACAAGACGAGCGCGGTTATCAATAAAGAGTGTGATGTCAAACTTTTAGCGCTCTCTATTGACCAGTCGTGTCATCTATCTGTTTAAGATATCCTGGCACGAGAGAAATTCCTGTACTTAAGTTTTTTCCTCTTGCAACAGGAAGAACTGGAATTCTGTGAGCGCTTGAGGATGGCTTGTTTTTGTGGACACCAGCCAGATGACCACGGGATGGACCGCTGACCTCCAATGTGTTTTGTCATCCAATTTTAGTTTGCTCGCGGACATTCATCGTCAGGATTCATGACATAAACATGAATGCGTTTGTCATTTTCTGCATGTCATACAGCATGTTATAAAATAACTTCAAGAGTCAGGTCATACATTGTAATTAGTGTTTGTAATTTAAAAAAAAAGGAAGTTTCAAACTGGCAATCAAAATCAGTACCTGTGTAATCCTGTTTTTTTTTGTTCTTAAATCAAGACTCGGATACCGTAAGTAGATGTCTTCAATTTTCTTGACATTGTATTTATTTATAACAAGAACAAAGAGTATTTTTATACATTTAGCAACCACCTCACATCGAAAACTTTCACTTAAATATTGATGTTACGCAGCGTCATTGTTATTAAAATATGGCAATAAAATGATTCCAAAACAATTAATCGTTCATCGTTTTGTAATAATACATACAATACAAACATATTTATACATTTCAGTGTTATTCTCATCCAGCAGCTCCGCATATTAGGCAGTGCTATGTTACTGTTGGGTGAGGAAACATCAGGAGCGCTGCATGGATACTGGCTAGGACCGCTTCCATTTTGCAAATTCATTTTTGATTTCCACCGCCCTCATGTCCCCAATACTAATTAGCAGCTGTGCTAAATAATATGTCACCATGACAACAGTATTACCGTGTTGCACAGGCGCCGTCACCTTAAACTGTTGCAAAGCCAAAGCGAGGTCGGAGACGATGAAGAACAAACTTCCCAAGAGTGTGAATGCGCGACGGGTTCTGATGGCTAATATCCCCATCAGTGTGATTAAGATAACGTAGACCCCCACGGCGGGGGTTAAGAGGTCCGACATTGGGTCCTTCTGTAAAAATGGAAACAAGTATGCATAAAAACCTCCCGCGATCACAACCAGGATCAGATATAGCAGGCCAGTCCATGAGGAAGAGGAATATGCCTCGTAACGAGATGACAGGAAGCTGAGCGAGTAGAGAAGATGAGCCACAGCAAATGCAGCCATGCCTAAAACACGCGATAGACAATTGCACAGTTTTCTTAGCTTGATGTCATTTATGATGTAAATAACGTTTAAAAAAACTAAACAAAAGGGAGTAACCCCCCAACGTGTCTCTTACCGTGGAGGAAAAACCCAGGCCAGATCAGGCAGCAGTCGCCCACAGCCGAGAGGACAAGTCCTCCCGCCACACCCACGACACTCTGACCTCCATTCCAGCTCAGCACTGCCGCGGCCAGCAGGAGCGCCGGTGCCGATTTGACAGCCGCCAGTATGATGGACGCCGGTGTGTCTGGAGTACACAGGTAGAAGTACGCGGCTGAGGCCAAAAAGAAGGGCGTGAGAGAGAACAGCAGAGCACAGGACTGAAAGACAGGGAAACACACACCGCTTAGGAAACACAGGAACATATCAATGATGATATGAACATATTTGTTCATGTCAAAATACCGTGTTTCTTCTCTGCCGTCTGTCGTAGGCATCTGTCTCAAGAATGTCCATATTGTCCACTGAGCAGAGTGCTTCCTCCTGTTCTGCTAATTTCAATGACCTGGAAGAAAAAAAAAAACACAAAAAGCTCAAAAGCCTGCGCCTTGTCCCGCTGTTGCTGTCAGAATGAAATCTGCTACGTCTACTGGTCTTCCCAAGCCACGAACTTTAGACTGATCCTCACTGTGTGATTACGCCCTGATTATCAACCTTCTCCCGGTTTTGAGTCGTTGTGAAAGGAAACTTGACCTTTGACCTACCCAGAGGAATACAGTGGTGACATCAACACAATGTGCAAAGTTGAAGAAGATGGCTATATAAACTGACCATTATTAACACCTTGCATTTTGGCATATAAGACAAAAGCCCAATAATTGCCAGCAACATATAGCAAGAGGGGTAAATATCTGCCTCACAGTTCTGAGATTCTGCGTTCTAAATCCAGGCCCCAGACTTGAGGTTCCCACATAAAAAAAAAAAAAAAAAAAAACCATGCACATTAAGTTAACTGTAGACTCAAAAATGTCTTCAGGTGTGTGCATGTGAGTTTGAATGGTTGCTTGTCTTTGCGATGGGCTGGCAACTCGTCCAAAGTTTAACCCCCGCTCTCACCCAAAATCAAGCTTGGATGGGCTTCAAGCTCACCCGTGCGCCTGATGAGGACAAACGCGATCGGAGATCAACGGGTGGAAAATGGACGGTTGGTTCAAAATTCATCGATTCTTCAATTTTCACAGTCAGGTGATCCACAAGGTCAATTTCAAGGTCAAATTATTGATCAAAAAGTTTAATTACTAAAAAAACGGAGCAATCTTTTGAGCGATTGTGGATTCGTATTCCTTGTTTAATTCCCTTTCCAACAATACCCCTTTTGTGGAGATTGACCCCGTAGTTCCTGAGATCTGAGGGGTTCAAAGAAGGTGGCCACACCCCTTTTTGCAGAACGAGCTAAAATCCGGTGGGGCGTAGCTCCCAATCCCCTGCTCAGAAATCATTTTGTCATGTTTGACAAAGAGTGATCATTCCAATCCAACGGCTCTAGCGCCAACAATGATTAACTTTGGCCTCTGCGGGTCATACTTTGTACTCTGCTCCCACGGTCCCTTTGCCAGACGTGCTTCAGTCAGATTGGGAGACCCGGCAAAGGTGTGGGATTATCGGTGAGTGCAGTCATAACTTTGATCGAGGGAGATCTGATATGAAGAGAACCTTACGCATGTGTTTATATATGCAGGTGCATGTTCTGAACCTTGATTAGCCTGTTTGGGTCCGCCGCGTAAGGAAAATGGCAGCAAGGCCCCCTTCCCTCCGTATTGGAATTGTCGGATTTGGACATCTAGGTGGGAAATGCTTCACAGCATGAACACACACTGCCGTACACCTTCATGAAACTCTTTGTACCCGAATGTCCTCGCATCACATTCCATTTGTTTTACTCTTCAGGACAGTACTTGGTGGAGAGAATCATCAAAGATGGCGGCCCCGTCGGCTTAAGTTTGGCTTTTGTTTGGAACAGAAAGCCTGAAAAGATGAAAGGTTTAGTCCCCGATGAACTTGTCTTGGGGAATCTGTCGTCCTTCGCAGACAGGTGCCAATTAAGGAAAAAAAATTCTCGTCATGTCAGAGTTTCTGACAGCGTGCGACAAAATGCACGATGTCAAGAAACACAATGCGACATCTAACTTTGTCCCGCCAATGTCCTTCAGGGAATGTGATGTCATTGTGGAGGTGTGCCATCCTCAGGTGGTGAAAGAATTTGGAGTCCACTTCCTGTCTCACTCGCATTTTATGGTGACATGTTTCCTATTAATAAGAATCTGGAAAAATATATAACGTGCTGTAGAATAAACTGTGCGGTAGTCGAATATTATTCAAAAAGGAATTCCATATGACTGTCACAATGTCAGTACGATGGCCTGCAGGTGTTGATTAATTAACTCATTCACTCCCAAAGACGTTTTTAAACGTCTTTTCAGACTTGGTCCAGAATTGGCTGGTACTGAATGAGTTTTAATCATGAATAATTGCTCATAACGCTCAACACAGCTGCTTTAAAAATCTACAATTAGAGTCAAGAAAATGTATAAAGAATTACCGGTAACTTGATCATTGATTGGGCAGAAAATGGAAGTGCAAAAGGGATTTTAAAGTCAAGGCATATATAAAATTTTCCATGTTTTGCCTTTGGTCGGATTACTGGTCATAAATACAACTTACATTTTTAAAAACATCTGTTTTGGAATTTAAAAAAAAAAAAAAGTTAAGTGTCTTTGGTCGCTGAGGTAGCTTTGTGAAACCCCCCCCCCCTTGCAGGTTGGCTCCCCCTCCGCCCTCGCCGATCATGACCTGAATGCGAAACTTCGTCAGGCGGCACAGTTGCACGGAAGAACGCTTTACGTCCCCAGCGGTGCGTTATGGGGAGGTCAAGACATCCAGAGGATGAACGATAGCGGCGTCTTGCAGGTAAAACCGCATCTTCTCATACATTACTTATATCCACGAGATCACTCGGCGGGGGACACCCTGAACCCGTTGCCAGCCAATCGCAGGGCACACATAGACAAACAACCATTCGCGCTCAGAATCACATGTTGAGTTTTGCATTGACCTGCCATGCAAATGTTCTCGGAATGCGGGAGGAAACCGGAGTACTCGGAGAGAACATGCAAACTCCACGCAGGAAGACCGGAGCCGGAATCGAACCCCGCACCTCTGCACTGTGAGGCGGATGTGCTAACCAGTCGACGGCCGTGTGCGGCCGATCGCTCTCTGTCTGCAGGCTTTATTCATAAGAATGTCCAAGCATCCATCCTGCTACCGGCTGACGGGAGATGTCCCCTCCGAGTGGGCGGAGGGAGAGGGGAGGCGGGTTTTATTCAGGGGCTCGGTTTCGGAGCTGTGCCCCCTCGCTCCCAACAATGTCAACACCATGGCGACGGCAGCGGTGGCTGCAGGGAAGCTCGGTTTTGACGGCGTTCAGGGAGAGATTGTGTCAGACACGGCGTAAGTCTCCCTCACATTGTTTTTTTTGAACTCATTCAGTACCAACCAATTCTAGACAAAGTCTGAAAAGACGTTTAAAAAAGTCTTTGGGAGTGAATGAATGACGCACCATTTAATGTAATCACCCTTCTTCTCGGCCCAGTTTGAGTGATTATCACGTGGTGGAGGTGCAGGTGACGGGGCCTAATGGTTTCTCAGCGCACACGGTGAGAAGGAATCCAACCCAACTCGGCGCCGTAACCGGTAGCGCAACATACAACTCATTTTGGAATAGCTTACTTGGTAAGTTTCCAACTTTCTCAGGGTTGAGCGGAAACATTTGTTTTTGATCAAGTCGTGCGAGTTGAGACCAAAACACGACATCGAGATAGTTTTTTGTGAACTTACCGGCTATGGCGACGGGCCTCGTGAAATCCGCACATGCTTTATTTTGATCCCATGTGATGTTAGGACAAGATTCTGGAGTTATAATACAGATGTGTGCGTCAGTCAGTGCAGCCATCATCTGTTTTTTTTTTTTTTTTTTTTATGTGCAGTATAATGACAAGAAAGTACTTACCAAGACAAATGGGTGTTGTTGTTGATGTTGCCCGGCCTGGCTGGTGAAGGAGCGTCACTCACTTGGTAGCAAAACAGTTCGATCCGGGCCACTCTTCCTGAAGAATGAGACAATCGTTGTCACGACAGCGGAGCCTGAGGATCTTAACACCAGTTGGGAGTTTTTTCACCCCACGGACAAAAATCCAGACAGCAATTTTGGTGACGCGTTGCAGTTAAAACTAGAAAAGCTACCTCTGAACAGAGTTTTGAGTCATCACTTGTCATTTGCTTATATTGACGTCCGGACATCCGTCCTCGCAAAGGAAGTGTGGCCCTTATGAGGGATTGTGCCAGCGGGTGATTGAATGAGTCGTCATATGCGGGCCGGTCATTCACCAGCCACAGTGAAAATGTTGACCCGAAGAAGCCCTTTGAATTAAAGGCAAATAAAGAGGCCGATTGCTTTGATTCAACCTGATTCCCGTGACCTCGGATGACTGAGAATTTAATCATATTTTACAAAGTCTCAAAAGTGACTATTTCACACGTCAAAATGATTTTTTCTTTTTTTTCTTTCCAGTCTGTAAAGGTCACGGGGGTCGAGTTTATTTGTGCTGAAGCGTCTCATGCCCACGGAAGACGAGCCTGCAAGCAGCGGCGAACACCGGGCACGTCTCGCGGCGTTTGGACACGTGATCCGCCAAAGGCCCTCGCGGCCCAATAAAACACACGCAAGCAAAGAAGTCCGAGCAGTTTTTGTTTGTCAACCCTTTGACGGGTCCTCTATGTTGAATCTTTATTATATGTTCATATGGTGCGAGATCGGAAGAAATGATAAAACTCTCACAGGGAGTATACATACATCTTGCAAAAAAATGCTTTTCCTTCTTTTCATTTTCCAAGTCCGATTCGAGGCTCGTTTCGTACATGCAAACACAGTTGCAATCACTTAGACACATTCACTTTTTTTTTTTAATAACTCCGACTGGCTCATCCTCCACCCCCCCCTCCCTTCCTCAAGAATAAATACTCGTCAATACACAAGCAAATAAGCGGGAGTGTGAGGTGGTTCACAGTAATCACAGCAGAAAACTTTCAGGCTTGCAAGTTCGATCAAAACACAAAAGTCCTCAGTGTGAGAAGCCCTCAAGCTTTTTGGTGTTTTAGGATACAGTAGGTGTGTTTTCAACTATTCCCCCCACCACCACCACCACCATTTTGGAGTTTTGTAGGAAACATTTGAAAGTTGCGCAACACAGTTGTAATCGGGACACTTTTACTCACAGCAAATGAAGCGGGCTTTGTCCCGATTGCGTATTGCCTTGAAGTAGAAAGATGACAAAACAGCAAAAATGAATTGGTTTTCCTGGTCTATTTAAAAAAAAAAAAAAAAAAAAAAAAAAAACAACAACAACAATCCGAGTGACTCATAGGTTATATTTTACCCTAACGCAGTGTTAGTAAAATACAGCCATTGTGACTTTGCGCCGCGCTGCTTTTCCTTCAAAACAAACCACTTGCAGAATTGCTGGTGTGACCGAAAGAATCTAAACTGACTCGGCTTGCTGGGAAGACACAACATTCTCGCTTGAAATTATTTTGGAGATATAATTAACTTTCTACGTGTGTGGTATTAGTATTCGTCATCCCAAATCTCACGAGTGACAACGAGCACGTTCGGGCGTGTTTTTTGCGCGTCAGTTTTTCTCGCTGACGACCCCGTCGCCATTCCCGTTGGCCCTGTAGACAGCAGACACCTTGTTTTTGTACGGCATCGTGAAGGGCTGGCGAATGTTCACCCGGTCCTTTTCCGCCTCCAGATCTTCGTCGTAGCGTTCGTCCTCGTCGTTGTCCTCGACGTCGCTGTGGTGTGGGGAGGAGTGGCGGGAGAGGGAAGGAGACGGCGGCACCGAGGCGGGGCGAGGGTAACGGAAACCCGACGTCTGAAGGCGAAAGACGGAAGGTTCATCAGATGATGTAGGATTGTTTTTTTTTTTTTTTCTTCCATCAAAAAAAAGAAAGAAGCCTTCGGGTTAACTTACTGAGGTGGGGTCATGAGGTTCGTACAGGAAGGTGTCAGGGAAGGCTTTTGCCAGGGCCATGTGACGTGCCGCTACGTAATACTGACGCGACAGAGAAATATAGGATCGGTTTCAAAAAGGGTCAAAAGCTCCCAATGTGAAGTCATACCCTGCCGAGGTATCTCCAGTCCAGGAGGTCACTTAGACGCTCCGTGCGGTTCCTCTGGATGATCCTCTGGCGCCGGCTCTGCTTGCAGAACTGGAACAGGAAGGAAGTGAGCTGGTTACACGAGTCGTCCACCCCCCGAAACCGCCGGTCCAGGATGTAAATCCCTGCAAAGGTAAAAGGCGTGAGCGGGAGCGCATCTCTCATATTGTTTGGAACCGTTCTGAAGCTAAAAGAGAAAGAAGAAACCCACCATACGCCGAAGGATCTGCTATGTGTTCCTCCATGAAACAACCAAAGCCCGACAGGTTTGTTGAGATGGATGGAATTCCCATGACCGTACACTCGGCTAAAAAAAAAAAACGACATCATGTTGACCGTTTCATTTTAATATCGGCGTCTTGTGGACATGCGTGGGTCAAACCTGGCGTGTAGCCCCAAGGCTCGTAGTAAGAGGGGAAGACGCCCAGGTGGCAGCCTCTTACAAATTCCTCGTAGTCCATCGGAAGCAGAGGAGAGGTAGAGGACAGGAACTCGGGATGGAATATAATCTGGATGGAAACGTCAGTATAAAAAAAACGTATAAAAAAATCTAACTGTGTTGCGCAGCAGTTCATGCCCTGTCCAGTAGGTGGCAGTAATTTTCATCACAAAGTGGATGCACAAGCCAAGACTTTTTATTAATTGTGAACTCACAGCTCCATGGGGGGGTCCACTGGCCCCAATGCAATACGATTTAAACTCAAGACTAAATTTGAATGGCTTCTAAAACAATTTCGACGCAAAGTGTCAAAACGGGGATTTGGTTTGACATAATCTCTCACTAGAGTGTGCTTGAAGGAGGACGTTAAATGACCAAATCTATTGAAAGTGCGCAGAGTGACCCTTCTATCATAGCAGACCTTGATACTGCTCTCGTATTGGATCTCACTAGATTGTGCAGGTGTGCCAAATGATGTGGTGGGGATGAATGGTTTTATTGTGGCGGGAGGTCAATTCCACATACCTTGACACGGTCAGCGGAGCTGTTGAAAAGGCCGATGCGGCGCACAGAGTTGAGAATGGGGTCGCCGCTGTCCTCCAGCATGTTATGAGTGCACACCGGCGGCTGGCACTGCCTTTGAGTGGCGAAGATGGCGCGCTTCATGATGGTGAAGTCTTCTTTGTCCAGCATCTTGGACACATCTGGCAGCTGTCCACTAAGAAAAATGGATCATAGTTTATAGCAAAGTGGTTCAATTTCAAGCACATTTTGTATCATCCAACTGCAGGCAAAACACCGAATGTGGGCTATTACAAGATAGGGAGACGATGCGAAAGAGGTCAACTTACACTAGTAAAGATTCATAAAGTTTCTTTCCGAAGCGCTCCTTCACTGTTTGAGCAGTATCCCTGTCAGCAAAAAGAATAAAAGACAAGCAATTATCATCAAAGAACATCCGCGATTAATGTCTGTGGTGTGTTGAAGACTACTCTTTCTTATAGTCTTCACAGCTCGATTCAAATAAACAAAATGGGCGAGTCCTGAAACATGTCTTATTAATGAACCAATCCAGTTTGGATGATTCATTTTTTCCCCATCCTGTGCAATGCCCTGGTGTCCCAATACTTTTATCCGTGCGCTCAATGTCAAAGCGGCAGCCTCACCACAGTTGCTTCCTGACCGCTTGACCCTTTAAAGTCTCCACATTGAAGTTGTTTGTCCGAGCCGGCATGATGAAAAACGCAATGACGGTCACGTCGCTGTGATTGACCTGCGAGAAATAAGAAAGAAATAGGATGGATGTTTGATTCGGAACCAGATGCGATTCAGTTGGTATGCTGCCAAACACACGTACTCTTAGCAGATAGTTGAGCCTGGCCAACGACTCCAAGAAGATGTCGGCTCCTTTGTTGGAGAATTCATATCTTCCGGCAATGAACAGGAACAAACACTTGTCCAGGTTGAAATCAAGGTGCCTGGCGGTCGGGACAAACCAATATCGCTTATTAAAAAGCACTCCAGTGCAAGCTCAATTTCGGTCACGCCTTGACACTTCAGCCATTGTGATAACCAGCAAAAGAACTGATTGCAACCCAAAATATTTTTGGATGTGCATGGTGTTCGGCTTCCTGACCCGTAAAAGTGTCCCCTGACAAACTCCTGAATCCGATTCTTGCTCTGAGCGTGGAGGTTCTGAAACTCGTGCACGGCCGAGAACTTCTTTACGTTGAGTCCGTTGGGAGTGACAATGTCTGCGTGGGGAGTGAAAGACGACATTACGGAAGGCAATAGAACAAACTGAACACATCACAGACTCATGCAGCAAATCTCCAAGATATAGACAGAGTACCCGATGATACTGTACGATATCTTTTATGTGTATACACTCCATAATTATTGCCACACCTGGTTAAGATGTGTTAAAAGTATTTTTTAAAAATCAATTCAATTTTTTTATGGCAGAAGCAGGGTGGCACAGTGGACGACGGGTTCGCACGCCGGCCTCACAGGTCAGAGCAGCAGGGTTCGATTCCAGCTTCGGCCTTCCTGTGTGGAGTTGGCATGTTCTCCCCGTGCCTGGGTGGGTTTTCTCCGGGTACTCCGGTTTCCTCCCACATTCCAAAAATATGGCATGACAGGCTGATTGAACACTCAAAATTGTCCCGAGGCTAAGTGCGCATGGTCGTTGGTCTATGTGTGCCCTGCAATTGGCTGGCGATCGGTTCATGGTGTCCCCCGCCTCCTGCCTGAAGACTTTATTCTTCTAAGTAAAAATTACCCGTAGCACACGTGACTCCCTCTCAGGAAACGAGTTTGCAGCATCTTACACACCTGGCTTCCTTTTGAGCAGGTTTTCTGCCTCAATGGCTGTGATCTGAGACACGGTGGTGAAGACGTGCGCACAGTGGGCTGCTGCTCGCTCCAAACAGTAGCGGTGGTAGATCTGTCTGTCCCCTGCTTCCTTATCCACATTGAACTGAAACATCCAAAATACAAAAAAAAAAAAAATTATTGACAAAAATATGCCAATCCGTGGGTGCCGAACTGCGAATGTGCAGTTGTTGACTGTCGATTTAAGATGTAATGTCACCAATCACCACTAGATGGAAGTGTCAAATGCACATAGGGTGAAACACTCAAACACAAACCTCTGAAAGTTTGTTGTAGAAGTCGACATTTCCGGCGCACAGGTAGCGTCCCAGGAGCGTGGCGTGAGTGGTGAAGATGGTTGCTACGGGCAACTGCCTGTGTCTACACAACACCAAGCCCAGGCCGGCCAACCACTCGTGGAAATGGGCCACGACATGAGGCGTCTCTTCACACTGGGCCGCGAACTGCAGATTAGAGGCAAATACAGAGACGCAGAGATGATTCATACAGAACGTGTTCATGAGGTGTACGTTTGAAAACTTTTCAAATGTTTGGTTGTGGAACTTAGCGGCAACCTCTGACCTCTCCTAGGAGCCAGGCTGTCAGAAAACCAAACAGCACAGCATCGTTGGCCTCGCGGTCAAACCACGGAACGCCGATGTCACAGAGCTCCCATAGCTCACTTTTCCAAGTGTCCAGAGACCAAGCGGTGAAGCCCACATCGATGAGAACCACATACGGGCTCCCCTCAATGAGCCAGCGACCAAAGTAGACCTGCCAAAAGTTGCGAATGCCATAATTAAAAATATTTAGTACATTTACTTGTGAATTT